TCAATATCTCTTCATATGGAAGCTTTCTAATTTGCGGGATTAACCTTGTTAACTTACGCTGGACGTGTTTTAGTAAATTTATGTCCATTCTATAGCATGGCGACCAAAACTGAAATTCATAATCTAAATGGGGCCTAAAATGATCAAGATATCGATGAAGAATAACGCCAGGTGATTTATTGCTAACGCTTCTATAAATAAATCTATGGGAATGAAAAGCTCTCAGCCTATTGCCTGCCTGGCATTATGCCTTATGCCTTAGCCTGCTAACAAGAGTCTGAAGTTGTTTACACATGTATATCTCCACCCGATCGTACCCAGATCTAGTTGTTAAATAAGCACTTTACCTCGACTCCTTTGAGCCAACAGATGACGGCACTTTTCCCGCACCTGAAAAATATTATTTATATACAATATAGGCAAGTATAACAAGTTTGTTAAATACAATCGAGTAACCATACAATTATGACTTTCAAGAACGATGGAACCAATCACTGGAAAAGGTGAAACTGCAATGGATTGCAATAGACAAACGGAAGACCTTTTTGTCTGACTCGTGAGGCTTTGGTTAAGAATCAATGTTCTTTTAAAGTTATCTTGAGATGATTTCGGGGCTTTTAGTGTCCCGGCGGCCCGGTCCTCGACCAGGCCTCCACCCCCAGGAAGCAGCCCGTGACAGCTGACTAACACCCAGGTACCTATTTTACTGCTAGGTAACAGGGGCATAGGGTGAACGAAACTCTGCCCATTGTTTCTCGCCGGTGCCCGGGATCGAACCCGGGACCACAGGATCACAAGCCCAGTGTGCTGTCCGCTCGGCCGACCGGCTCCTTAGTTACAAAGAAACTAATTACCGTATTAGGGTTTTCCACTGAAGTAAAACCTTTAGCTAACCTTAGTGTAAAGTAAAAAATAAAAAATAAAATGTTTATTTAGGTAAGGTACATACATACAATAAATTTTTACAAAGATTGGTTGACTTATAGGTAGAGCTAGTACATACAATGCCTAAAGCCACTATTACGCAAAGCGTTTCGGGCATGAAAAGTACTTTGTATTATTAATCTACTTAGCTGTCTATTGATATAAATTATTTAAACAATATGCTTAAAACAACTTAATGACAATGTATGATCTATAAGCACTAAACCAACGGCAGAAGCCTACTGATTACATTGCCAGAAGTGAGATTTTTACAGGTGATTCCATTTAATATTGCACATTAAACAAGATGGAAACAATTAACATCTTACACATTTATCTGCATCATTGCCATCCTGATATGACCACTCCATCGCCCTACTCGTTAACACACTAAAAACAACCTAGTGTGACTTGTTGGTAACTATTATATACCACTTTTAGCTTAGCGGAATGACACGTTGTGCATAGTATTGAAAATAACTTTAATGCAGCAGTACGCGCGTTCAAAATAAAATTAGAACAAATCCTCAGGAACCATATGGGAGTACCGGTGACAAGCCGCTGGCTTCCTGTTGCCGTAGAGGGTACTATAAATGCAGCCCCTTAGGTAAATTCATCATACGAGCCCCTCTTCTTCCCTCATTCTGAATCATGCTCATCATACCACCCTGCATTCCCCCCCCCCCCCCCCCCCCCCACCCACTAGCGTGGGCGCACTACACAATCCGTGGCCCCAAAGGAAATGTATATGTTTATCTCTCAGAATGTTCGGTAATACGTCTATTGCTTGTGATATGTGTCTATATATGTATTAACACGATGTACTGAACGGGGTGAGAATAGCTTGAGCTACCTCATCCCTTTGTGTGTATTTTACCTCAATAAACTTATTACAATTTCAATCTGTGGCCCAAATTTATCTTTTCACTCATATTTACATCTAAATATGTTGAAGATTTGTTGTTGGTCTTTGCCTTAAGGCTAACTATTACCGCCACCACAAGAGCCCTAATGACCAAGTATAGCGGGTACACCTATCGCTGCCACCTGACACACAGCTATGTTTTCCCTAAATACATAAAATATCAACAATAATAACGAATAACGTAATATTAAGTACACACGGGAATACTACTCTATATTATATTATGATTGATTAAATTAAACAAGTATGGCTGTAACACATATACCCACAGCTAATCTTTATGAACCATGCCGATCGGCTGCTCGTCGTCAAATGATACTTTTTATTTAGTGAGACTCCCGGACACTCGACTCACCCTTAGTTGACCATAATATCAAAACTGTCAACCTGTAATAGTTAAGCTTCTGACCACCAGAGGCGCTAAGGCTCCCCCCCCCCCCTGTTGTTACGCTATCCATATAATGATTGCTGTCACTATCATTACAACAGAGAAATCATCCATGTTCTCAAGTGTATATATATATATATATATATATATATATATATATATATATATATATATACACGACAATTTAATATTTTATGAGTAGAGGAAATAGTGTAAACAATTATACATGCTTTTGTTTTTAGTACCAAATTATCTGACAGATTTTTCTAGTCATGCAGACAGCAAGACACAACAACGTGGCTGAACATAACATTTCACACCCAACGCATACATTTGGAAATGATATAAGTTTTTTTAATCCTTCCAGTACCACTGTTAAGTCGTGTAAAGAAAAAGTGCCACTATATTATAGTGGGGAGCTGGTGGCTGAGCGGACAGAACACTGGGTGTGTGATCCTGTGGTCCTGGGTTCGATCCCGGGCGCCGGCGAGAAACAATGGGCACAGTTTCTTTCACCCTGATGCCCGTTACCTAGCAGTAAATAGGTACCTGGGAATTAGTCAGCTGTCACGGGCTGCTTCCTGGGGGTGGAGGCCTGGTCGAGGACTGGGCCACGGGGACACTAAACTCCAAAATCATCTCAAGATAACCTCAAGATATACCTTCTCAGCTTTCACCTCACATTCTTTCTTACCTTGCAAATTGACTTTCTCTACACGACAGGATATTGCAACAGGAATAGTGGATACTGTAGCAAGAATAGGGGGGGATATTATTCAGCAATAGGGAATAGTGTAGCAGGAATAGGGTACAGTGTACCAGAAATAGGGGATATTGTCGCAGGAATAGGGGATCTTAATTAGTAATAGGGGGATACTATCGCAGGAATAGGGAATCTTAATCCGTAATAGGGGATACTGTAGCAGGAATAGGCAATATTGTAGTAGGAATAGCAACGTTACCAATGTAATGTATGATTATGTTACGTTTATTTGGTTGATTAGATACACAAAGTTTAGTGGTTTTGATATTTATTTAGTAGTCTTGGTTACAGCAGTCGGTTGTTAGCAGTGTCGTACAAGTTGAAACGAAGCCTAAAGCAGAGCAGCTTTTTTTTTTTAACAGAGACGTGGCCACACATTTACAATGCTAAGCAGCATATATACATTTTCTTCTGTCCTCCATGGACAGGGTTAGAGATATGTTAACCATAATGTTCAGTGTTTTATTGAACACTCAACCACAGAAGGTGATTGCAGTGCTTATAAAATGCTAAGTAATTATCAAAGAAGGCACCAAGCCGTATAAAATGCTAATCTAACCTACATACATAAATACACAAATTAACGTCTGCCCTACATAAACAGTGTTCGATGTGTCTTTTTTCTCTACATAATGTCTTTAATGTGCATTTACAAAGGTGAAATGCAATTCTGACCAGCTTCCATATATCCTGTATACACATACATATATATACATACATTTATGTCTCTCCTACTTTGACAGTGTAAGGTAGCTGCTATATAAACTAGTGTGTTATTAAGCACCTAACCACTGAAGGTTCGTATGTGCCTTTTTCCTGTAAGTACAAAATGTATATTGATCATTGCTTCTACCTACAATGCAATCCAAAAAGTGGAGTTTTATTAACTTCTTTTTCCATACTAAACTGTATGGAATACTTTAGGCTATCAAGACCCTCGAAGTACCTATCTACATTCTCGAGATCTTCGTCAAATATAGTGAAAACATCAACATATCTGAACCAAGCTCTGGGACCTTTCCCATCAATTACTACTGTGGGTACTAACTGTGCTTCAAGAAAACTCCATATATAAATTTGCAAGATTAAACATGAATAAGAATAGCATTAATATAATAAAACTATTGGCCTATGGAGTTGATTTAACTTCCAGACACATTATTTTTAATTAATCTTAAATGATTTGTGGCTATTTATGTTTGATATTATTATAAATATGCACTTTACTAGTAATATCAATTAAATTTGCAACATTCACCAAACAGTTGGTGCTGAAAAAGTTCCAAGTTTGCCAGCTATGGTAAGCCTGTAGGGGACTGGTCTTCTGGCATCTCTGTAGAAGCAATTTAAACTCCCAGCAATGCTCCTAAGGGGCTGAGAGGTCCTAGGGGGCTGCAAGGTACTAGGGGCTGAGAGGTCCTAGAGGGCTGAGAGGTCCTAGAGGGCTGAGAGGTCCTAGGGGGCTGCAAGGTACTAGGGGCTGAGAGGTCCTAGAGGGCTGAGAGGTCCTAGAGGGCTGAGAGGTCCTAGGGGGCTGAGAGGTCCTAGAGGTCTTGCATCCTGCACACTATTATTCTGAACATTGTCCCATTGTTTTTGTGTCTGTTGTTCATATATATATGGTTAGTTCAGTGCATTTATTTTCCTTTACCCCTCTTCTGAATTTTTTTACATTTAGTTCATATTAATTATATATTAAATTAATTATGATTATATTAATGATATGCTAAATTAATTATATATTAAAATGTAGGTAGTATAACAGCAAATAACATTCTAGCAAATTCTGGTAATTTTCTGCCTCATTTTGAATTACAATTTGATAATTTTACATCCTAACAATAAAAAACTTGTATCAATAATACAAAGCTATATCATTTAGAAGTACTGTACTGTAATGTTATTTCAACATTCTATGGCAAAATCTACCTGGCAGAATGTCAATGTTCATAAAATAAACAAAATTTTTTTAAATTGTTACAATACATAATTACAAAAAAATTTAAGAAACAATTCATGTACTGTACTTCAGATTTTGTTTTTAATATGAGTACACTAATTAAATGAATATATAGGTTAAAAAAAATTATTTTTTACACTAAGAGATTTTTGTGCAAACTGTTTTGCACTCTGTGAAAAATTCCAGAGAGTCCTGAGTGCCTTCACGTCCCATCCCGCTGTTCTTGACTCCTCCAAAAGGCATATCAAGGCTTCGCACAAGCCAGCAGTTTGTCCACACAGTCCCTACCTGAAAGAATTCAAACTGAATAGTATAGATATCATTATTACCCCATTTTCCACATGCATGGCTTTTGCTTTTTGGGAGGCAACAGCCAAGAGAAAAAAAAGAGAGGAACAGTTCTATATAAGACAAGGTTAAAGATGTTGCAAAATTACACTTGTTTATTCCCCATATCTTACTACATAGCATCAAGGAGAATCACAGCAGCACCTATCACAGGAGGTCAATATTAAACAAACAGTTGCATTTATAGCAAAACAGCACCAGCATCAGTTTCTGAAGCTTAACTTCTATAGCAGCCTAATACTGTATTAGCGGCAGTCCCCGAGGCGTAGCGGCAAGACGCTCGCCTGGTATTTCGCGAGTGCTTTGTCCTGGGTTCGTATCCTGGCCAGGGAGGATTTGCTGGGCGCCTCTGTTTAACCCAACAGTAACATGGGTACCTGGTTGTTAAACGATTTGGCGGGTCGTATTCCGGGGAGCATATGATTAAGGACTTGCCCGAAATGCTATGCATGCTAGTGGCTATGCAAAAATGTAAGAACTCCTGTATAATAATAATAATAATAATAATAACAATAATAATAATAATAATAATAATAATAATAATAATAATAATAATAATAATAATAATAATAATAAAAGCTCAGGAATCAGGCTCTGTTTCAATATGAAAAGCACAATTCTAAGCAAGTACATTTACAATGTACTATATAAATTTATGAACATTTACTGTAGTTGCTTCTGCTCCTACTCATTTTTCTCATTCTCAGCTATGGGCAGATTCATATTTATACATATTCAGATTTTTATTTATACTGTATATACAATAATTCTTACATTCTTGTAAAGTTACTAACACGCATAGCATTGTATAACCTGTATCTATAATACCTATCCTGTATAATACAGGATAGGTATTATATAATACCTATCTAGAATATATGTATAATACCTATCCTGTATTTCTTCTCAAATGAATGCTTTTTATTGATTGAAGCATGACTTTTGTAAGCCATGAATTATTTATAGCCTCTTAGTGGTGACTTGTTTAGTAATCATGGGATGGTGAATTTTCTACATGCTTAGTTTATGAAGAAATGTTTGCACACCTACACTGATGTTTTCCACGCTATAGTACTAAGTTACACCTCCCAATTTATGTTGCTGACAGCCTAAACAAAGTTGGTTACGGAAGCTTCATTGTATTGTATCTCTGATATTCTGAACTGGATTAAGCTTTTCACCAGTACAGGTATGTACTTCCCATGCACTGGTTAATATGACCCTGCAAAGACCAGGGATATTTGACAGTGCCATTGTTCGAACGTTGTACTCCTGACTGTTCATGAATCCTATCTATAACCGATTTGTACCTTAAGGACCAACTTAATGTGTCTGCTCAGAGAGGTACTTTTTATATTGATGCAAAGCCTGACTTTTATTTCAGACTGAAAATAAACAATTCAGTTATGTCTCACCTTAAGTTTGTGAGCTACACGGTGTGCCACTCCTAGGTTTGAAGTCCAGACAGATGCACAAAGACCATACGGTGTATTATTGGCACGATTAATTACTTCTTCCTCGGTGGTAAAAGGAACAACACATGTCACAGGTCCAAAAATCTCTTCTTGCATGCAGCGAGAATTATCATCCAATCCTACGATAACAGTTGGTCTCATGAAATATCCCTGAAAGTGTAAATAAGAAAATGCCTTCAAGTTAGAGCAAATATGTCTTCATGCAAGATTGAAACTACGTATATATATTTTGGTGAGAATGGGAATATAACTTCAGATGAGAAGGTTAAAAAAAGCCTGCAGGTGAGAAAGAGAAAAAAATGTGTGTGTGTGTGTGTGTGTGTATATGTAATCACCTGCATTTACCCGAGGGCCACTATTTTTCTAGTGACCTCAATGGGGACTGAAAGTTGGTAGCTTAAGATCCCCCCCCCCCATTGTTCTGATGACTTTTTCAAGCTGAATTTGAAATGCCATTGTTCTGGCATTTACAGCTTAAGTGAGTAGGCAGTTCTGTGGGTTCATAGTGTAACTCCATGGGTGAAAAAGCATCTCCTGTTTTCTGTCCTACATTGTAGTTTGTTGAGCTGGAAACGGTTTTTCTCTTCTTGTGTTACATTTAAGCTTTTGAAGATGTTGTCTGCAACTTGTTCGGTATTTTAAAGTGTAATTAAAATATGATAGCTATGATCATGATGTTCCATGTTCTTGATGTTCTAAATTTAAAAAATCCTCATTAGGTTTGCCAATTCATGTTACAATTTTATATGTGATTATCATATTACTGTACCTCTATTTTTTTCTGATCACAATATCAATATTTAACATATCTAATACCTCCATATTCTAGTTTAGGTCTCACAATATGCAGGTGTAATTGTACATTTTGAGTGTAATTTACACTTAGGTAATTACACCTAAGTGCACAGGATGAGAGCTACACTCATGGTATCCCATCTTCCCAGCACTGTCATATAATGCTTTGAGGCACACATGCATGCATGCATATCTGGTATATACACTACGTCTTAGTGTGGGGAAAGAGGGACACATTTATATGATATATGCACTATGGCTGTTACTTTATTTATTATGCACCCAATACCCCATCTTGTAAGTGGTAATTAAAAAGGTAAGATGCATATACATATACAGTAATGGCTTCAGGAAACGAGCCCCCAGTTTTTTTAAGTCAACAAACTACAACACATATGATCTATTTGCAATTACACCATTCAAATGCATGGGTTACATAACAATGAGTAGATTGTATATAAGATGTATAGAACATTGTAGAAATTGTCAAAAATGTGATTGCCACAAGGACTGGGATAGCTATCTACTATGCAACTCTCCTATTACCCTGTAATATTCAAAATTGAAAATTATTTTACACATTAACAAAATGAGTTGCATAATGTACTTCCAATATATAATACTGTAATATACTGGAAATCATACAAAATGACATTGCAAGATGTGTGTTACTAGTACAGTAAGTAAGTACTGTAATTATCAAAAGAAGACACCAATCCTGGAAGGCCATGTAGCACCATCAAAAGTAGTGTTTCTAGCTATCGTTATAATTATAAGGTGTGTGTGTGTGTGTGTGTGTGTGTGTGTGTGTGTGTAGATAAATTGTAAAAGCTAATGTAAAATATCCACCAAAGTCTGCTTAAGACTTCTTGTGCCTCTGTTATCCTTTTGTGCCACTTCTCGCAAACTGAGAATGCAGCACATAAGAGACTAGAGATGCCACTGGTACTGGTAGCAACAATTAACAAGATGCAGCAGGTACCTTTCACAAGTTTACTAGTAGGTCAAAATTTTGAAAGGAATGGAAAAAAACAAATACGTATTTTGGTGGGACAGTAAATCATCATAGGTCAGTTGAAAAACGGGCTGAAAGGGTGCCAGAAGGTAAATACAGTAGTATGAATGAAATAGAAAAACAAATACGGCAATATTTCTTTACAATCTCAAAAAAAAAAAAAAATGACAAGTTCATAGAATAGAATTGCTTACATTTCTGTTCTCCTCTTGAAGAATACAAAGATCCACACCCTCACCACACAGAACTGTACCACCATCTTCAATAGCATAATGAACATAACTGCGAACTTTATCCAGGTGAGCTTTTGAGATGAGGGCTCCCATGAACATGTCATCATCTGATGGGTCTCCTACCTGCAGCTCCCTGAAACAATATTTCCAAAAAACATAATGTGTTAAGTTAATATTATCATCAAATTTCAGAGTAACATTTAAGAAAACATTTAGATTACAATACTTCAACACCATTTCCAAAGACAAGAATTTTTTTTTCTGCAGGAGCTGTATATCATTTACGGAATAATCATGAATAAAACAATCTTGTCATCCCAAAATGACAGCATTTATAGTAACTATTGATCAAACATACAAAAAATGGATTGTTGCACATACAAAATTTTATTAATTTTAATACAATTACTTTTTCAAAAGGGCACGAGAAAATAAGCAACAACCATACCTAAACTTTCTTAGCCCTAGTACAACACATATATATATATAATATGTACAGCAAAGATGGTGTATATTATGCCTAAGACAGGTTAGGCTAGGTTGTATAGTTACTATTCAACTTCTTCCGAGTATTCCGATAGCACAAAATTTAAAAAAAAAATTGCGTACAATACTCCATTTTGTATGTCTGATCAATAGTGTTTACTATAAATACTATCCATTTTGGAAGATGTATTTTAATTTAGTACTACTGTAATATAAAAATGAAACCCAATTGCAGTACAGTAATTAGAACAGTAAAAATAATGCAGTACATAAAAATAATAGTACAGTAAAAATAATGCAGTAATGCAGTAATAAAATTACTGCATTACAGTAATTTGGATTCCTACCCTTAAAATATATTCTTAAGATAAGCTGCATAACAATACAAATTAAAACTTTAAAATTATACTTGTACCTGTACTCACTTTGTAACTTCCACAAACTTATCTAAGAATTCTTCATAGAGTGGTTGCTGAACAAATATTCTGGAGGTACACAAGCACACCTGAAATAAACAATTCATTACTTTAACAATCTAAAATTAATTCTGTACAGTATATACATTACCCGACATTTTAATGTATTAACCACACTAACATGTGAACACCCATGTCCTATTGGAAATTAAATGTGCAACACATTATAATCTAGAAGAGAATGGGGGGGGGGGGGAATGAAATGGCTCATAAACCTGACTTCAAGAGAGGACTAATGCTAAGGAACTTGCTAAGGAACTTAGCAAGTTTTTAAATTAATTTGATTGGAAAGATTTTTTGTTAGGCAAAGAATAAAAAAAAACAAGAGAGATTTATGCCAAATTTTATAATACAAGTGATAACGTCGTCGTCCCTTCATTTTCTAGTGTGTGGTTTGGTCAACATATTTCAGCCATGTTATTGTGACTCCTTGTCTGCACAAGTGATGATATATGATGAAGGTACAGTACACAAATAATTATACCAAAATGGAAATGCAGAACTAGAAATCAGGATTGGTTTGATGAATTGTGAGAAGGCTAGAGAAAAAAATACAAACAAATTTAATCAGTAAAGGAGGAGGCCTAACTCTTAAACATACCAGTAACACAAACAAGAAACTTCTATAAGGCAGCAAGAAGAGAGGCAGTAAGAAACTTTGAGAAATGGATAGCAGACATATATGAAAAGAAACCCAGCCTATTCTATAAGTTCATAAAGAGCAAGTTGTATGTAAAGGATAAAATCCAGAGAGTAAATGCAGACATTAAGTCACAATGACATGGCCGATGATATGATGACCAAACCACACATCAAAAGATGAATAAACGATGACGTTTCGATCCATCCTGGACCATTAACAAGTCGAGTGTGAGGGAGAAGAAATGAACGGGCAAAAAAATAAGGAAAGAGTGAGATGAGGAGCAGGTAAGAGAAAAAGGTAAGAATAAGGTGAAAGGTACAAATGGGATGAGTGTAATAATGGGATCAAGGAAGAATGGGATGGGGTAAGAATAAGTGGAGGGGAAAAAAAGGAAAGGAAGGGGGGTAGGCTTAAGTAGGTCATGTTTGTTAAGAAGGTTTGAGCATTTAAGTATTTACTGTGAAAGGGAAGGGTCAACAGCAACAAAGCCAGGACTCGGGTGCATGTTGGGTTGGTTGTGCATCAGAGCCGATTCGACAAGATGGTTGTGATACACAACATACCCAACATGAACCTTAGTCCTGACTTTGTTGCTGTTGACTCTTTCCCTTTCACAGTACATACTTAAATGTTCTAACCTTTTTAATAAACATGACCTGATTTAAGCCTAACCCCTTTTCTTTTTTACCCTTTTATTCTTATCTCATCCCATTCTTATTTGATTGCATTATTACACTCATCCCATCCATAACTTTCATCCTATTCTTACATTTCACCTTTCGATTCTCAGACAGGACAAAAATCGTTTGGCACATTTCCTTTCACCTAAAGTTCACCTAGTATGAAATAGGTACCTGGGAGTTGGGCAACTGCTGTGGGGTTCCTGTCCCTGACAAAATGAGTTAATACCAGAAAAAACTCTAGACCAGATACAGCAATAACAGGGGAAAAACTACAGACCTGCATTAAGCTATTAGGACAGATTTTGAGGCACAAGTGCTTTCAATGGGGAATGTTAGCAATAGACAAGAGTTGGATGAATCTAACATCATGAAAAGGAGACCAATTTGTTGACCACATGTAAATTTACTATCCAAGGAAATAGCACTCTTAGATCTTATGCTAACAACAGAAGAGGGCCTGGTCAATCAAATCCAGGCAGAAGAAAATCTCACATTCGTGCATCCTAACTATTCAAGGAGACCCAAGACAGAACAGGGAATGAAGTTATAAATTAAGAGTCATAGATAATAAAATGAACAAATATGGTATACATTATCGTACCTACCTCTCCTTGATTGGTGAAAGAACCTCGCTTAAGTGCCTCAATACAAGAATCCAAGTCGCAGTCATTAAACACCACAGCTGAGTTTTTGCCACCCATCTGAAATATACAATAATCACCATCAAATAAATACCATAACTCTATTGTAATGGAAAAAGACCACCTTATGCTCCTGTACAATGGCATCTCCCAAAAAATCAGCACTCCATCCAATGGATTCCTATTAACAATGGATCATGTCCATCCAGTTAATTTTACCTCAAGATATTATAACAAGGAAAAAGAAAATCTTGATTCCAGAGGAAGAATGTAATCCAGATTGTTAGTTCATTACATGGAATAATTTACATCAAATTGTATTACTGTATTTATTTTTTTCTATATTTTGCTTTTTAATTTGTAAATCATATAAATTTTATAAATGTTTTACCAAGCTTAATGTGCAGTGTATAAATTGAACAAAGAAGTTTGTGGGATTTATATTTTTAGGTGGTATATAGCCTTCCTGGCTTGGTGCCTTTTTTTGATACTTACTTACTTACTTACTTTATTTTTAGGCATCCAAACCTACTATGAACAAACACATTGATCATGCCTGTTGCTTGTATTTGTTGTCAAACTTCTTGATTCTTGATTCCAGCATTCTCATTGGTTTTCCTTCTGATATATAATTGTTTGAGAGTTAACACCAAATATGAGGCAGGAGAAGTATTGGTAAATCAGACAAGGGTAAGAGGACTTCAGGGTCTTGGTAGTATAGTTGGGTTCATTCTTAACTCATAATCGAGAATCCCGGGTTTGAATCCTGGACAGGACAGAAATGGTTGGGCATGTTTCCTACCTCCTAATGCCTCTGTTCACCTAGCAGTAAACAGGTACCCAGGAGTTGGGCAACTGTTGGGAAGGCGAATCCTGAGAAGTCGGTAATTCAACCTTGGGGGGGGGGCCCCCCTCGACTTAAGCTTAATTTATGTACATATACAAGCTGTCTGTCCTTGACAAAATTATTATTATTATCAGATTGCCGAGTTATTAGAGAAACATGATCGAAACTGGAAACACAAACACCTGGCATATGATTAAAACATTGGTAATAGTGCCGTTCCCGACACAGAGATTTATGGAAGCAAATCATATAGATTGTGAATAAAAGAGAGCAATGGTGGAAAGAGTATCGACATAAAACATTGAAACTGTCTAAGTACTGTACAGTATATGAATTTGGATGACACTGATTACCAGTGAATGTTAAAGCATTGCAGTCAAGGGCTGGCTGTAGCTGAATGAATGACAGTAGTCATGGACACTGAGGACTTCAAAACCAATTCAGGGTGACTGCAATGGTTTAACAGATGGCATGATATACAGTAGTACTTTAATTGCATTTTGCTGCCTCTGGGTTATCATGGCCAGCCTGTCCTACAGAAAGTTAAGTGAATAAATTATTTGTTCATACAGTATTTCTTTTATGCATAATTATTATTTATATGTCCACAATCATTATCTATTTTTTCTGAATATGCTGAAACATGTATTACATAAGAACATTTCTGAAAATTGGGGACAAATAACTACAACTTTTAAAAAATCCAGAACAGATATGAAATGATAAACATGGATTTTGGAGGTGCCACTGAATAATGAAACCTGTCATCAAATAATATGTCCTCGTTTGGAATTTTCATTTTGTAGAGGGTCTGAGAAAGACGGGAAATCCAAATTTCTAACATTTCCTAGGCCTAGTATGTACTAAATGCTTAAGGCTTACGAATGCATATGTTAGGCCTAAGATTGCTTATTTAGGCCTGCAACAGGTAAATTCAGATTAGGTTTATGGTTAATCTGTCATTCCATCCAATGATGCTATAGCTTTTATCATTTCAGAAAGATGACTTGGTATATATTATATTGCTGGTAGGGACAGAAGTCAATTATTTATATACTATACTGTACAGTATATCTAGCTGTGCATGTGGTCATCAAGCCAGTGCTGGCCTTAACCTGGCTGCCTGAATGACAAAAACATCAGCCACTGTGCAATGCCATTAATGTACATGTGGTACCAATAAGAAAGCCAATAAATTTACAGTTACAGAGTTTATCCATAATTTACAGAATACAGTACTGTACTGTATTGTACAATATACTAAGTTCAAAGCCCTATGAACCTGACTGATTCTTCTTCCCTTACTGCAAGTACATCTTATTAAAATAAATGTGAATACATCACTCACTTCAAGCGATAATTTCTTGAACATGGGAGAAGCGACTTCAGCAATGTGTCTTCCAGTGACTGTAGAGCCAGTAAAGGACACTAGGGGAACATCAGGGTGAATTACAAGAGCTTCCCCTGCAGATGAACCGAGCCCAAATACCATGTTCACTACACCAGCAGGGAAATCTGCCAAAGATACATAACGGAATATATATATATAGTACTGTATTGTATCCAGTTTCATAACCAATTACAGGCAGCCTACAATTAAAGCTGTACAGTATTGGAGAATGACGATTCGATGGTATGCGGGCAAGCAATTTTGTAGCAAGGTTTAAAGTGTGCAGGTGAATTTTGATAGTTCAGTACACAAGTTAAGTGCAGATCGGCACTGATGATTGCATAATACATGGGGGTCTTCCACATTTACAGCAACGTGTAGAGATACAAAATACTGTACACCACAACTCTTGTTTCATTATTTTTTTTTATTCATAACATAACAGATAACAGATTCATAACATGACACAGTAGCATAATAGACATTAGGATAATATAGCATGGGATTGCTGGATTGTTTTAAAGCATAGGTTAGACATAATGTGAATTAATTTGGGTGGATACAAGTAGGAGCTACCTCATATGGATCAATAGGCTCTATAGTTTCCTTTAATCTTATGTTCTTTCTGTGTTCTTAAATCATTTCACATTCCAAGCATTCTGGACTTTATTATGTACTGTTAATTTTGGCTGGCAAGTGGAAGGAGTATAATTATTAAATGTTAAAATAGGTGTTATATTGATAAAAAGAGTGGGAAACTGAACTTTAGGGTGTTTCTTGAGCCTAACCTTATTTTTCCTCTATACCATTAAGTTTGCACAACCTGAGGTCTGTCCGGATCCATTAGGAGTCCGGAAGCACCGAGCTGGTAGCTAGTCCAAGTTTTACATATATCTTGCATACGCTCTGGTGCAGGTAATGGAGTTTTTCACCAAACACAAAATAAAATCATAACAACATGATATATCTATGAGAAAAATATACAGTATCCTGCACCAGAGATATTCTCATAAATATATTATTGTGGTTTAATTTTGCATCCTTGATATATTACCGCTGCAGTGTTTTCCACAGCCTTGAACATGTTTATACTGTATTGTATTAGAACTTGACATATGTTAGTTTCTGTAAAGCTAGTCCATAATGGTAAAAAACTTACCAACTTCTTCGAGAATTTTACAGAACATGTAGGCAGTAACAGAAGTCATTTCTGATGGTTTAACAACAACAGTGTTGCCACACATAAGGGCTGGAGCAAGCTTGAAAGTCAAGAGATATAGTGGCAGATTCCACGGAATGATAAGACCAGCTACACCCACAGGCTCTCTGATGGTGTAGTTCACAACACCTGCCTCTGGCTGCATATTTGACCTGAGTAAAATTAAATTTATCATATCAAGGGTCTAGTAGTACAGTTGGTTTCATTCTCAACTGACAGTCGAGGATCTCAGATATGATTTCCGGACAGGACAAAAATTTGAATTTACCTGGTTGGGCACTTTTTTCACCTAATGCCTCTGTTCACCTAGCAGTAAATTGGTACCCAGAAGTTAGGCAACCATTGTGGTGTTGCATCCTGTGGAGGGTAAGTAGTTTAACCTTGTGGGACGAGGGAGACCTCAGTACAAGAATAAACATTTTGTTTATTCTTGTTCACCTAGCAATAAATAGGTACTGTACGTGGGCATGAAGCAGCTATTGTGGATTGCATCCTGGTCAAGGTCAGAAGAATCTCGGTAAGCTTAACAGGCTTCCTGTCCCTCACAGTGGGAAACCCTTTGAAAGGTCAAGAACAGTACAGTCCATACCTACAACACTGTACTGGATGTGTATCAATTTAAAAGCTTAAACTTTTCTGAAGCATCAGAAGTCATCTGTTCCTATCCCCAACTTATGTAAAAAAAACAAAAAAAATGATTTAAGGCAAGGATGCAGCACTCATATTTTAAAAGCTAACTACAATTTCTTTTTGTACAATATCTTTTCTCTTTTTTTTTGTCACAAGACTTACGTGTTGAGTTGGTGAGGAATGGTGTGGGCAAAGTGTCTGAGGTTAAGCACTGCCCTGGGAATATCCATAATCTTAGCAAGCCACACAGGTTTGCCCTGGTCCTTGGATTCTGCCCTAGCAAAGTCTTCCAGCCGTGATTCAAGAATATCCGCCACCTTCAAGAGGTGGTTTGCACGCGCTTGAGCAGACAGACTTGACCATCTGGAAAATAAATTGTAAATAAGATTTACACGGACCAGGCCTATAAACCTACTGCATAGCTCAAGAATTCTGAATTCAAAATGTAATACCTGAACATATTTTTTTAGTATAAAAGTCTAAGCAAAGTGAAAATGCTGTTCATCAACTTTATTATTTATATCAAAATACTAGTATACTGTATTATTTTATCTATTAATGGTGTGATCTCCATGCTTGGATGTCGTAGTCGGGATGATGATGGTTCACCAGAGATTTGTACAGCTAAATAACCACTTTAATTTTCTTTTAAATTAAAGGTTCATTTGATTATTCCTATTTTCCCTTACCTCAGCTCCTACTTGCTGAGCAAGTTGATGTGGTAGTCATGATGTGTATTGTAATACAGTACTCTACATAAGGTCTGGCATTTTTCAATATTATGAAGCACTTGCCATTCTTTTGACTATTAGTAGGCTTCATATAGATTGTTTAACAAGGCCTCAATGTTCAAATTCAAAAAGTTCCCATTTTGCCATAGACTTTTGTGTCATCTGCAATATAGATAATGTGATTTATGATTTTCTCATTTATAGGAGCCATTAGGAGAATTCAAACCTGCTCACTTGGTACTCCCAAGCCAGTGCCCAAGACCACCACAGCACGACATAAACAAAAGCCGTGCAACCCAGGACTCCACTGAATCCTCGAAGATTACAGAGGCTTACAACTGAAGCCCAGTCAGGGTTTTAAACTGCATGAACTAATACTGTATCAGTAAAAATCCTAAGTTGAATAATTAAGATCTGTTATCCATGTCTTATAATTAATTTAAAAGAATTTGTAAAACAGTAAAACATACATTTAGACATCATCAGCATACAAGACGTACTTTGGAAAGGCCCTCTTGGCAGCTGCCACACCAGCCTCAACCTCAAGCATGCACGAGTCTGGTATCTTGGCCCAAACTTTCCCAGTGCTAGGATCATAGGAGTCCAGTAGACGCTTGCATTGCACCATCGTCCCAGCAATGAAGTTCTCTAGGGGTGGCATTGCATCCATTATGCCTGGGGATAGATGGGAAGAACAATATTTAGAAAATGGAACTGCATGTCTACTTCTCTTCCTGTTTATTTGGTTATTTAGTTGCTTAGCTCATAAATATTGCTTGCTGCGAGCCTCCAAACCTGATGATGGGTTTGGGTCACCTAATTGTGTTTGCAGGGAATAAGCTACAATTTTCCCCCGAATACGACCCGCCAAATCATTTACCGTTCCCACTAAACGCCGGGCGAGTGCTCTGACGCTGTGCCACAGTTACGTTAGATATTAGAATATTAGTATAAATTACTCAAACATCTGCTACAACCCTGGACCACATATGGACTAATATAACAGCTCCCCCCCCCCTTTGTCTCTGATATAATCACTGATAGAACAACCAATCACTATCCTACCTTTCTCTAGGCAAACATGGATATAACACCCTTGGTTACCAATAAACTTACCTTTAGACTACACAGAAAACCAGCAATAGGGAACCTCATAAATGGTATCTGTGCATGGAAATACCACAGCAAATTACCTCAAGTCTATCAGCAAAAATTTGCTATGAGAACTATAACAAACTCTGTCTTCTGACAACGCACAGCCCCTCTGTGTAAGTCCCTTAACATGCTAAACATACACTCACTCCACACATTCTCATGTGCTATCTTCTTCTTCTTCTTGAGAATAGGTGCAGTTTGCATGAAGGGATGTGCTATCTACATGTACAAAACCTTGTTCCTGAATGCTAATTTTTAACTGAAATTTTGTTTTGATAGGTGTAATAGAACCCATGAGCACAACACCAGAAATAAATATCTCTGATATCTGCAGAGTCAAACTGTCATACATTTATATTTAAATATGTGTCTGCCTCCAGTATCTCCTCTCTCTTGGTGCATTACTTAAGTACTCACCTGGCAGAATTTGCCAAATCAAGCTCTAGATCTTGGGTTTCACATTTCAGTTATCCATTATCTCTTGTAAAAATCTGACCGTATTTATTATTATCCCAGAGCTTAGTCATCTCTCGTATCAGGAACGGTTGAGGGCCACAGGAATAACAACACTGCAAACCAGGCATGACAGGGGCGACCTCACATTGTTGTTGTTGATTTAGGGGTGACGACGATCGTGGGATGGGATGCGCCCCGGCGTGCCCGTTAAGGGTGAATCGCGAAGCCAGGAAAGGTGAAACGCCAAGCCAAATCGCAAAACGAGTGACGCCAATCACTGGAAACTAATATGCCATACGGCAAATAAATGCACAGACGGATGAGGGCAGAGCAGAAGCCGGCCGCCCACCACGGATGAGGGCAGAGCAGAAGCCGGCCGCCCACCACGGATGAGGGCAGAGCAGAAGCCGGCCGCCCACCACGGATGAGGGCAGAGCAGAAGCCGGCCGCCCACCACGGATGAGGGCAGAGCAGAAGCCGGCCGCCCACCACGGATGAGGGCAGAGCAGAAGCCGGCCGCCCACCACGAATGAGGACAGAGCAGAAGCCGGCCGCCCACCACGAATGAGGGCAGAGCAGAAGCCGGCCGCCCACCACGAATGAGGACAGAGCAGAAGCCGGCCGCCCACCACGGATGAGGGCAGAGCAGAAGCCGGCCGCCCACCACGACTGAGGGCACACCAGGAGCCCACCAAGACCCGCCAACCCCCGGCACCTCTCGGCCAAGCTGCCAGGAGAACCAGCCAGTACACGTAAAAAAAAAAATCTATCAGCAATCCTGTGACCCAAGGCAATATGTGCGCCAGGCGTCGTACAATCGGACCGCTGAAAAGGGATGCCAAACGGCAGTAGCAAAGCCAAAACGCGAAAACAAGACGTGATCCAGCGGCACCCAGGTGGAGGTGCAGGCGCTCAACCCAGCACCTCAGCTTCCACCAACCGATCAGAAGACTTTCCAGTCATACTAAATAGTGGCTTCTCCCACCAGGCGACCCAACCTTCACAATGGAGCCCCACAGGCACCTCCGCAGCCCCTTGCATCACGTGCAGGCATTAGCTCTGGTCTTATTAGACTAGCAGAGAGGCTTGCCGGACCCAACAACCATTGATACGTCAGGGAACTGAACGCACTGTACCTAGCCAATGGCCTGGACTACATCATAACCCCTGACGCAAGTCTCACTCCCTCCCTTACCACACAGGGCACTTCCTCAAGGTCGACTACCGAGTCGATCTCATATCAGACTTCGGCTCCATCGAAGACTCAGGCTGCACAAACAGCAGCATCTTCCACTCCAGCCCCACAAAGATCCCATCATCATCATCTCAGCAGATGCCCTCGCTGAAGTGCTATCCACGACCACCAACAGCACCACCGAAGCGACTGAACTAGGTTCTACTACCACACTGCGACTCCAGAGCCAACAGGCTGTGAGGCCAAAGCAAATTCCACCAACTGCGGATTCCTCGGACGAGGAACTCTCAGTAGGAGCTCCATCGACGCAGTACTCCACCTACTCCGTACAAGATTTCCTCATGGAACCCACCTCACCAAAGTCCAATATGACAGCACAGCCATGTCAGCCTGAAGCAGGGTTCAGAATAAGAAAAAACGGAAGACCTAGAGGCCTTCACAAACTCACCTGCTCTATAATTGGTACAGCCAGCCCCCCCCCCCCCAAAAAAAAAAATATATATATATATAGGTAAAGTATGGCCTTTTGGCTGTCGCTTTGACTTCTTCGCCCCCCCCCCCTTTGGTGCTTTGGTTGGTCCATCAATTCCACAAGTACCCAAGAATCATCGCCCTGCTGCTGGGTAAGCCATGGTTCTTTCTCTACGACTACAAAGCCTCTTCTCCAGACTATTCTTTCGTCTGTCCCCACTTCCCGCTCCCTCTTTACCTATACAATCCATGCATTCATTCATGACAGGGCGGATCTCATCGAAACCTTTAAAATACTAAACAATTTGGAGGATGTCGATTCAGACAACCTCCAAATTGTTTAGTCAGATGTATCACGAACGAGGAGCAACGGGTTCAAGCTCAACAAGCGACAATGTAGGACAGAAAACAGGAGATGCTTTTTCACCCATAGGGCTGTAAACACATGGAACCGCCTACCCGCCTAAGCCGTAACCGCCAAAACTCTGCTGGGTTTTAAAATACAGCTGGAAAGGATAATCAGGGCAAATAGGGCTGCCGGCTTCCTGTCCTCATCGGGGCCACTAGTATTAATTGCATACCACTGACGTCAATGAGATAATCCTTTCCCTTAAAACCAAGTCTAGTGCCCTTGAGGAGATACCAACTTTAATTTACAAAAAAGCCTCCAGATCTTTAGCCCCTGCTATTGCTTTGCTCTTCAACAAGTCACTTGAACTCCAAACCTTTCCAGATATTCTAAAAAAAAGCGAGAGTAACGCCTGTCCACAAATGTGGTGATCTCACAGATGTTAACAACTACAGACCTATATCAATCCTGCCAAACTTGTCAAAAAATTTTGAAAAACTAATCTATAAGCAGCTTTACTCATATCTAGCCAAACTCAATATACTTAGCCCTTGCCAATATGGCTTCAGACCCAAAAAAGCACTAACGATGCACTTATTAGTATGCTTAACTCGATTCATACAGCTCTTGATAAAAATGAGTTCCCTGTTGGGTTATTTGTGGACCTGCGTAAAGCTTTTGATACTGTCAACCACCAAAACCTTCTTAAATTACATCATTATGGAGTCAGAGGACACTCCCTACAATACCTCAAATCCTACCTTACTGACAGGCTCTAATATGTTTCTGTGAATAATACAATTTCTCCCACCCTACCCATCAACATTGGTGTTCCTCAGGGCAGCATACTTGGCCCTCTCCTCTTTCTCATCTACATTAATGACCTTCCAAATGCCTCCCAACACCTCAAACCAATTCTATTTGCTGACGACACAACCTTCATTTACTCCAGTCCTGACCCCCTTGCTCTAAATGCCACAGTAAATACTGAGCTAAATAAAGTCCATCTTTGGCTAACTGCCAACAAACTCACCCTTAACATTGACAAAACTTTCTATATTCTGTTTGGCAATAAATCCTCTAATCAAATAAATCTCAAAATAAACAATACCCAAATTTGTAACAAATTAGATGGCAAATTCCTTGGCATTCTCATTGACCACAAGCTGAATTTCCAGGGACACATTCTAAATATATAAAAAAAAGTTTCAAAAACTGTGGGCATTCTTTCTAAGATCAGATATTATGTACCACGCCCTGCCCTGGTGACTCTCTATTACTCCCTTATCTATCCATATCTCAACTATGGTATTTGTGCTTGGGGCTCTACTACCCAAAATCACTTACGTCCTCTAATTACTCAACACAAAGCTGCTATTAGGACAATATCCAACTCTGGCCCCAGACATCACTCGGTACCCCTACTCAAATCTCTGAATATGTTAGACATTAAGTCACTGCACATTCTCTCATGTGTATTATACATATATAAAACGCTAAACTATAATGCCAATCCTGATCTCAAAAGCTTCATAGAAGGTTGTAACAGAACCCATGAGCACCACACCAGAAATAAATAGTTTTGATATTCCTAGAGTACGACTTAATCAAACTAGAAATGCTCTACAAATCAAGGGGCCCAGAATGTGGAATGACCTTCCCAACCATGTTAAAGACTGTACCTCTCTCAACCAGTTTAAGATAAAAACGAAGCTATACCTAATAAATTCTCTGTAACCTACCTTACCCTTCTATTGTCAACCAATGTCTGTTTTTTTTAAAGAGCGCTGTTTGTCGACATAATTGTATTTGTGCTGCTTTTTCAGCTATGTTTTCATTTCTTGTTTTCATTCTACTCATTATGCTCAATTAGTATTAAGCTTGTCATTTAAGTTTATCATGCCCGAAACGCTTTGCGTAATAGTGGCTTTAGGCATTGTATGTACTAGCTCTACCTATAAGTCAACCAATCTTTGTAAAAATTTATTGTATGTATGTACCTTACCTAAATAAACATTTTATTTTATTTTATTTTTTTAATGGTCCGCGGGTAAATTATCACATCTAGTCATATAATTAAGTAAGGAAGTAGCTTCTAGTTCCCTTGCTACTGTCACATTGAGTAAATGTTTTGTTGTATTCCTGTCAAATCTGGGTCTCCAGCTTCCATGTATCTTTGTTCTCTTGTTTCATACACTTAAGATTTCAACTTCATCTGCTCTGCCAATCCCTCTGACTATCTTGCATACCACAATCATGTCACCGCACTTCCTTCTGTTATCCAGCATGTTTAGCTACAATTCTCTCAACCTTTTTCAATCATTTCTTACCCCACTATACTTATCCAGTTATGTTTGCATTAATCAAGTTTCAGCTTCTTAACCCAGCTACAATATTAATTGTCTGGAATGACTTCTCAACCCCCTTGTGTTTTAAGATATTTATAGATGACAGGTGCATGGAGCTTTCCTCCCTCCCCATACAACGTTTCAATGGGACTTCCTCTCACCAGCTGGATAAAATCTATTGTATGTCTGGCTCATTTGGGAATTCATCTTCCAACTACACTGTCTCCTCGTCCTGGTCCCTACTTTCACACAGTAGATTTTTTAAGTCGTGTTAGTACCCCTTACGATGAAAATAGGTCCCCTTGTGTCTTCTCAAGTATTCCGAGATATAGCTCCTGTATATGTTATATACATATATATATAATATAATTATACTAATAGTGTGTAATATGTATACTGTAAGTACACATGCATGTGTGAACAATCTTTCAGGAAATAATCTGGAATCGCCTATTCACTGAAGCCGTAAATGCAGAGTTCAAAGTTAATCTGGACAAAATCCTGGGAAATAACAGGGGAGGTTGTTGAGAACCCGGCAGTATAGAGATGGTGCCAGTTGTGTTGGTAACAGCTATGAGGGTGATGGTGGCAACAGTGTTTGTTCCCGGGGTGGTGGTGGCAGTGATGTTGGTTGTGGTGACAGTGATGTTGGTGGTGCTGGTAGTGGCAGTGATATGCTGTCGATAGTTATGATTATGATGATAAATGAATTAAACTGAACTTATGGTGGAGAGGAGAGAAAGGTGACATGTTACACCTTCCGTACAAGTAAGTAATTATCAAAAGAAGGCACCAAACCGGGAAGGCTATGTAACACCATCAAATGTGCCCCCCTCTGTACAAGACAATATATCTCGTATAATTTTTAAGTGACAACTAAAACACTACAACAGACAAATAATCCATAGTGATTGTTATTTAACTTTCGTGTGGAAACAATATAGCAGATATGAACTCGAGTGAAAAAAAACTCCTTTCCCCTCCCTCATGTCTTGAGCGTACATACGCGTATTTTTTTTATTAGCAAAAATATAGATATACACAGCAAAGTGCAACTACCCTATTCTAGAAATAAGCTATGAGTTCATCTAATATTCCAATCTCACAGGATGTTAGTCATACATGGAATCAGGAGAGAACATGCGAGTCTTAATTCTGTTAGCCTGGACTAGCAAGCTCTTTGTAGAGCACAATTATATTTTTCCAGGAATGTCCAGGACTTATATCTTGGAATGTCCAGCTCTAACTCAATTTCAGGCTTATCACATGCAGCTTTAGCTGTCTTGTATGTGTCATATCATGCTGGACAACACTTATGTGAGATGGTTCCCATACAAATGAGAAATTCTATCTCTGTGTATTAATGATATTGCTTGTAATTGATGTTACAACATTCTTGGTATCTATTTTGCATGTTAAGTTTTGAAATGCTTGAATAGCTGATTTGAATCACAGAAAATTACTCCAATATTTGTCATGCAGCTAATTCTGCATATGTGGAGTTAAGGCACAGTCTCACACTGGTGGTCTGTGTACATTTGTTGTCTTTGTGTATTCTACAGATCTGCAGTGCACCCTGTTGGCCTTTGAACAGAGTCGTCAGTGTAAGCATAGTGCTCGTGAGGACCAAAATTATTTATAAAGGTTTCAAGTGTTGCTGCTTTGGGGATTGCTGGGTGTTCCTTACTCTTTTTTGCTGATGGAGATGTAAGACACTGTATTTTAGGGTACATATATAATGGGACATCATTAGCTAGTACAGTACTGCACTTACAGCCCCGCTCCTGTGCCAGGTAAGTCCACTACGGGCTCACCATAGCCCGTGCTACTTGGAACTTTTGTTCCCAGTAGCTGAATCTTAAACAGCAACAGCTAGTACAAGTGCGTTGGTAACACTCACCCATCTATAAATAACACCAGTCAGTTTATCTCTTTTAGTAGAACTGATGATGTTGAATCTGTCATGACCCTTACACTCATAGTTATATTGAGATGCCTAATTCTTCCACATACGGTTGGGAGTTTCAGGTTCTTCCCTCATGTTGATGATTCTTGTGCATCTGGGGGCTCCATGTATTATCCTCGTGGTTCATTTTGAATTTCCTCCAATACTTTCAGCCTAGCCTTTGGGAGATTTATAAGGTGCAGGGTATGATAGTCAACTAGGGACCTAATGAACAGCATGTAGAACATATTGGCCTTTTTCAAATTTGTAACATTAATAATATGCATTCCAGCAGTGTTTTTACGTGCTTTAATCTTTCTTTAAGCCAAAGTGTAGTTCGCTTAGTATTACTGTTGATATTCATAGTATATTGCCTGCAGTTTTTGATGCGCTGATCATTGACTTTAAAAAAAGGGCGATTGTTGTTTCTTTGGGGGGACAAGAGGGAAAATTGAGTCCTGCTTTTTTATGTGGAGACGGTAATCCCACATTCAATACATCTATTTGCAAGCATATCAAGGAGAGTCTGCAACCGGTTACCACTGTTTGCAATGATGCAGCCTCATCGACTTGTGTAGGTATGAATGACAGCTACCAGTCTATGCATCAACACACTGAAAAGTGTAGTGCTGAGCACTCCATTCTCTCTCTCTCTCTCTCTCACACACACACACACACAAATAGGTGAGTACACACACAAATACGTGAGTACACACACACACAAATAGGTGAGTACACAGACAAATAGGTGAGTACACACACACAACACGCTTTCTCTCCCTGACTAAAACAAATTATGACTGCTGTGTTGAAGAGTGCATCACAAATTTTCTGAGCGAAGAGTGAATTCGAGAGCAAGACGCACACTAAGCACTCGATTACATTGTAAAGCGAGCGGCGCCCGGCGCTTGACGACTATCTAAGCCAATGGGACACTTTACGTTAGCTGCGCCGTAACTGTAACAACTCATACCATCTAATATAATTCAATAATAACGTAGAATGCTGCTAGTGGCAAGGATTGCCGCTACACATCACAAAACACACACACCTTAAACTCTCAAGTGCGCTATACCTGTTGATGTTTTGAAGATGACTGTAGAAGGTGGATGGATGGATGGATGTAGCTGTGAAAGTCACCCCGCACAACGTCCTCCTCGTCCAGCGTCTGGTCGTACACTACGCTGTGATTGTCATGCTGGTTTGATCAAGGTTATCCAGCCTCAGTTGCCACATTTACCAGCTGGGAGAGAGTCGGCACTGGCGTGTGCAATTGTAACATACTCGTGTCTGAAGCTAGACATAAATAAATACAGCGAAATTATTAATGATGGCAACGGTCCATTTCATGTGTATTCCATCTCATTTTGGCCTCCGAATGCATGATAGTTGATGAGTTAGCCAAAGAATCTGCCTTGAAAGATTATAAGCAGACGACGAGTTATAATAACGAGGTTGAAGATAAGATGACCAAATCACTCATCATAATGCGAAGGAACGACGACGTTTCCCTGAACCATTTGGGTTGGACGGTCGAGCGACGGTCTTGCTTCTTGCAGGTCTGCGTTCAATTCCCAACCGTCCAGGTGGTTGGGCACCATTCCTTTCCCCCGTCCCATCCCAGTTACCCTGACCCCTTCCAAGTGTTATATCGTCGTAATAGTTTGGCGATTTCTCCTGATAGCTCCCTTCCCTCCTCATCTTCTGATGAGTAAAATCAATACATGAATCATGTACGTGAATAAGATGATTGCATGACTGAAGTACAAATGATTCAAAGGAATACATTAATACGTAAACATGGATAAAGTATACGTGAGTAGCAAGTATACATACACGAGTATTAAGGAAACAATGTTATACGTGCGTACAAGGAATAAGGAACGAGTATAAACAAACAATGTTATGTTATGGCGATGAAAGTTTATTAATAAATGTATTTATAAATTCTACGTTTGAACGTATAATAAGGGTAATTAAGATAAGTGAAAGTTTTACCTTGGGTAAAAAAACTTGTGATAACATTAACGTTGTAAATTAACAATGCACTATAACTTGTTGAATTAAAGTGACTTAAGGTTAACATCGTGAAATTAACCTTGTATATTTAACTTGGAAAGTGTGACAAGGGTAAGTTTAATTATGTGCAACTACCAGAGGGTAAGTCTAACATGGAGAATTACATTGGTGAAAGTGCCACCTTGGTTAAATTAACAATGTAATACAGTAACATTGTCCCTGAGCCCATTATGTGCCTCTGTAACCCTTTCCACTACCGCCCACAAGATGGGTATGGGGTGCATAATAAATGAACTAAACTAAAAAACATTGTAGAGGTTAACATTGTATTGACCACCAAACAGCAGTAGGCCATTACAGTCATTAATGACTATAACAGACACCTCGAACACTTTTTATGTAGGACAGACGTAAATATTTGTATGTATTTATGTATGTAGGTTAGATTAGCAGTTTAAAAACACTACAATCACCTGTGGTTGATTGTTCAATAAATCACCGAACTGTATGTTGAACACATCTCTAACTCTGTCCATGAAGGACAGACGAAAATGTATATATGCTGGTTAGCATTATAAATGTGTGGTCACGTCTGTGGTATAAAATAATAATGATAAAATTATCTTCCATGTACAGTACTGTATATATTATTTGACTTTCCGTAGAGTTTACTGCACTGAGTTACTGGGTCACTACACATAAGGGGCATAACTGGCCGACCCCTCACAGTGTTCAAGAGAGAACTGGATAAGCACCTCCAAAGGATACCTGATCAACCAGGCTGTGACTCATACGTCAGGCTGCGAGCAGCCGCGTCCAACAGCCTGGTTGATCAGTCCGGCAACCAGGAGGCCTGGTCGACGACCGGGCCGCGGGGACGCTAAGCCCCGGAAGCACCTCAAGGTAAGGTAAGGTACTGTACTTGAAAACGACGAACTGAATTCATTTGGGTTGCTGTGAAGAAAGTAGCGAGTAGGGAAGATGGTTAGTAATAAAAATAGTGAGAAGAGAAGGTTATGATGACGAAGATAGTATATGCAGTGAAGATAATGTGAGAGAGAGATAGAGGGGTGACTGACAAACCCAGACCAGTACAAGGAAAACATGAACGAGGTTAGGGTAAAATTGGTGGGTCGAGGACCTTCTTACCCTTTTGAAAGAGAGGGAGATATCAGCCTATGTTTCAGGCCCGAAGATGATAGATATAAGGGGAATGTTATCCAACATCTTGGGCAGAGAGAAAGATAAAGAGCGATCAAGGCAGGGGGTGGACATAAGCCAAAATAGTCCGGAGTCCAGATAGGTTCAGGAAGAGGAGGAGGATGGAGCCTGGGGCCTAAGGGGCTTGCAATGACATAGAAGAGAGAAGAGGTAGTAAAACAAGGTGAAACCTTGACAGGACACACAAAACTTGGAAGAAAGGACGGGTACACGAGAAGGAGAACAGAGAGAGAAACTCATGACATTAGACCAAAGTGGAGCAGAAGGATGTGAGGTGGTAGAGACAGCAGAATCCAGAACCTGGAAAATGGTTCCAGATCTGGAGAGTGGGCTGGAGGATCCTAAGAAGCCTCAAGAGCCCAAGTCATGTCAGAGAAGAAGCTAAGGTGATAGACCTGGTGTTTTCCCTCAGGAAAAAATACATGGTCTCTTGCAGTAAGAATGGCTTGTTCACACTTATTCATACAACACCTGGAGTATGCAGGATGGGCAGATAATGCAGTATGCTGGGAAAGAACACACTGACTTTAAATGACCGAATTCACAACACATTGGGCAAAGGAGCACTTCACTACAATGAGTCACAGCACTTTATCCATACTTAAAACACTTATTGCAGACGTAAATAGGGAATGTATCCCATCATGTCACTTCGCACCAGCAAGAATTACTGAGGGCAGGAGGATATGACCATCGAATGTGAGCTAAACAATTTGAAGAGGTATCAAATGACAACTGTGAGGGGATTGTGTGAATGAATTAACTTGAAAACAGAATGGCTCTGTGACTCAAAATGGTCTTTTAATTTCTGTGTGACATCTTGAAGGTCCCTGGATTCCATTGCAAAATAGGACAGGAGGATGACAGTGCCTCTTGTAGTATTCATAAACATGCTTCTAGATTACACCTCACAAACACATGAGAAGAAAGTGAAATGGTCAGCAGCAACTTTCGAAGGAGCCTCAACAATGCGTGCACCAAACTATTTGGAATGGAATGCTATCTTGGAATCAATTGACTGAGCGAGGAAGGAAACAAGGAATATACCCGTCTTGATGCATAGTAAACGCACAGATGGCTGAAGAACCACAGGATCTAGTTTGATGATGATGATGATATGATAACCATGATATGATTTTATATTTATTTTATTATATATATATATATATATATATATATATATATATATATATATATATATATATATATATATATATATATATATATATATATATATATATATCTGTAGGGTAAGGCAGGTCCTAGTCAATAACGGCTTCTCCATTGGTTTCGTCGAAGACATCATAAGAAGGAAAGTGAAAAGCCATGCAACCTCTGAAGAGACAACTAACACAACACCTATACCCCTATTAGACTATTTTACAGGAACTTCTTTTCCACAGCTCATAAAACGGAGGAAAGGGTCCTGAAAGATATTGTTAATAGAAACGTTATCCCTACAGACAAAAATCAGAGGATACAACTGACGATTTACTATAAAACCAGAAAAACGGCCAGCCTACTCATGAGAAACTCTCCAGACACAAAACAGAACGCTTTAAAAGAGACTAACGTCGTCTATGCCTTCAAATGCCCTCTTGGGGACTGTAAGCTCCAAAAAACCCAGTATATAGGCAAGACAACAACATCTCTTTCTAGGCGTTTAACGATGCATAAGCAACAGGGCTCCATTAAGGAACATATAATCTCTTCCCACAACCAAACCATCGCCAGAGAAATCCTAGTAAACAACACAGAAATCATCGATAGATACAGCGATAGCAGGCGGCTTGACGTTTGCGAGGCACTACACATCAAGAAGTCAACACCAGCAATCAACAGCCAATTATTGCACAACTATATTCTACCCACCTCAAGACTCCGCTCCAATATAGAAGCATCAAGAAATATGGACCAATAGGCTTTCTACAATCACTTCCATTCAATACCCATTGTTTCGTGTTCTGTCTTGTGTTGATGAAATTAATACCCTATTAATGCCACCTCACCCCATCCACCTCACTCAAATGTAGATATAAACAAATCGGAGATGTGTAAGTTCTATTCAGTTGTGTATGTGTAAACTAAAGTCTTTGAAAATGTAATAAGTTTTACGAAACGCGCTCAAGTGTCGCGTCAGACTAGAAATAAAAATGAATTTTGGAGAATTGATTTTTGAATTACCACCAACAGTGAAAAGAAATGTACGAAAGATTGAGAAAATTCGTGTTAGAATTATTAATCTTACTTATTCGGTCATATTTAATAATATATGTCTACAGGAAAGACTGCTACCAAAATATACTAAAATAAATATAAATATATATTATATATATATTATATATATATATATATATATATATATATATATATATATATATATATATATATATATATATATATATATATATATATATATATGCAAACAAGCCTGAATGGTCCCCAGGACTATATACAACTGAAAACTCACACCCCAGAAGTGACTCGAACCCATACTCCCACAACTGGTATGTACAGGGACGCCTTAATCCGCTTGACCATCACGACCGGACAAAAGGAAGTGATAGCCGAGGCTATATGACACAACTATATTCACGTGTGCCCCAAAGAATGAGGTGATTTGATAAAATGCTATGCCCAAGATTACCATCCGAGTGCCGGCGGGGAAGTGGTTCATATAGCCTCGGCTATCACTTCCTTTTGTCCGGTCGTGATGGTCAAGCGGATTAAGGCGTCCCTGTACATACCAGTTGTGGGAGTATGGGTTCGAGTCACTTCTGGGGTGTGAGTTTTCAGTTATATATATATATATATATCATGGTTGTTGCATTGAACACACTATATATTGTATGCTACCCAATCCCCCCAATATATGTACCTAAGCCATACAGCTCTACCATTGTAATCATTGCTATCATCTTAAATGTGCTTTAATGTGCCTACTAATCTTTGTAAAAAATTCTTACAATGTACCCGTTAACATTTTATAAAGTTTGCCAAAAGTTACCCAATTAAAATTATTTGTTAGATTAATTAAGGACCTGCCCGAAATGCCGTGCATACTAGTGGCTTTACAAGAATGTAAACACATTATGCTATGTATCCCTCATAAACCCAATGTACCTTCTTGTATATATAAATATATAAATGTTTTAATCTCTGTACCTTAGGCCAGAAAGGGAGCTTCCCAAGTTGCATTTGGCAGCCCATTAAATCATTAAACTACTTTAGTCCTCTTACAGCCCATCTCTTGAAATGAAAGTACTTATAGTAATGATATGGTCAAAAGTTAAAATATGTCGTGAAGGACCAATAGATAGAAGTTTTGTAGTATTGAATTCAGACAAACTGGAAAAAGTTTATATATTGATATTGCTAATAAAACCTAACCTAACTTATCCTGAGGCCAAATATAATATGTATATGTGCTATACTAGGCCTAGGAATATTTAACTTTGGTTTTTGCTTGATTTTCCAAACTATAAAAAGTACAAAAAAGGCTTACTGTGGCTCCATTACTACATATTGGTAAGATCGACCACCGTTACAAAAAGTACAGTACAGTACTTGTACTGTGAAAATAGGAGGATGGGTTGCCTCTTGCCACACACACCTGCCATGAAGAGGGCCGATATGTATTGATGCAAATATAACCCAAAAAGATCGACTCGTTGATTACCGTTGCTTATCAGTACAGTATAAATTAGTGCTTAACTATTAATGTACTGCATAAATTCCCTTGTTCCCTTTGAAACTTTCTATGAAGCTGCTTATCCTTGTACTCTAATACAATGCACATCACAGACTGATGTGATGGCTGATGAAAAAAAAACATTGAACATAATACATCTCCTTTCTGGATGAGACTCGGTAGCTCCCTGAAGCCATCTTGCCAAGATAGCTCCCAATTACTTGGTCACATCAGCCATGGAGGGACCAGAGCTAGAACCTGGCCCCACCTCACAGAGGTAGAGAGAGCAGGTGACATGATTACTCCATTGGGAAAGCCTCCAGACAGTCAGCAAACTAATGCAGACCATTGCTGGATTCAAAGACACCGAGACCTCAAAGCTAATAAACGAACTCCCCAACAATGTAAACAAAGGATCGAATATCTCGAAACGAGCATGAGCTCGTTAGCACTGACCTCATCAGTTGGGCGGGAAACGCAGAGCTCCCAGTCCTCCATACCAGTTCTGAAGCAGATGTGCAGATGACATCCACCAATTGATGACCTGAAAGAGGGAATCTGGGAGTCACTTGAGCTCACCTAGAAAGAGGCGCTTCATTACATTTAATGCTGGTTTTATGGGGGGAGTCCTCTGTGGCTCCCTGAACATAACTGCCCACAGAGAAGAAAGAGAGGGACATGCCAGGGAAGAGAAACCAAAGGCAAGGAACACAAAAACCTAGATCAAGAAACTATCCAAACAGAATCAACCCGCAAAACATCCACTGAGGCAGAATCAGTGGCACGAAGGTAGTGGTCAAGAGATGTTGCCGGACATAGCACATGATGCACCCCTGGCCGAACCAACCATTTATAAGAACCAAAGGACACATCTGGAAGCCGTCAACTCAACCTTTGCCAGGAAAGGAGACACTCATCAAGGCCAAAAGAACAAAATCCGTGCCTCTGGAAAATAAACAGGAAGCTCCCTGACCCCACTGTAGGAAGTCAGCACCAACACGAAAACTGCCATAGAAAAAGAATCCCGGACTGAAAGGGACATGCTAAAACTGAAAAGGTGTTCTGAGGACATGATCCAAGGACCAGGAGGGCTCAGGTGGCACATGAGTAGGCCAGAGGTAAAACAATGAGTGAAATGGCTTCCGAAATGATGCCAAGTATCAAATGCAAACAGCAGAAGCTCTATCACCACTGCATGATAAGAAGCAACAGTATTTGGCACAAGACGCTGCTCAAAAAACATTCAAGAAATGAATGACAGGCACTCACCAGGGAGCCAAAGTTGGGGACAAAATAATATACACATGGAAAATACTTGAGGGCCAAATCTACACAGTAAAATAACATACTGGAGTGAACGATATGGAAGAAAATGCAAAAATAGAACCAGTGAAGAACAGGGGTGCCATAGGCACAATCAGAGAACACTGAATAAACATCAGAGCTCCACGGTTGTTCAACATACTCCCAGGAAGTATAAGAAATATTGCCGAAACAAACATGGATATCTTCAAGAGAAAACTAGATACAGTAGTTTTCTTCAAGAAGTGCCGCACCAACCGGGCTGTGGTGAATACATGGGCCTGCTAGCACTCCAAGCAACAGCCTATTGGATCAAACTTTTACAAGTAAAGCCTGGCCCCAGGATGGACTTGGGGAGGGAGGAGAACAACTCCCAGAACCCCATCCAGGTACACTCCAGGGCATGTACAGCACAGACAATCAAACCCTGAGAAACTAGCAGATGAGCTACCTGCAGTATCCAACTCCAAAAGGCAATAGACCTAAGGAAGCCCACCCCCCAAGTGTAGACAATGAACCATAGGATTTGTTTACATTGTTGGGGGAGTTCATTTGGCAGTTCTGAGGCTTCGATCTCTTTGAATTCAGCAATGGTCTGTATTCAGCCTTTCCTCATAAACAAAGGGCGAAGTCCATTCTATGCACCCCCCAAACCCCATTTATGAATGAAAAATGGTTTACACATGATTCACAACTGATGATGTCCGAATACTTCTGGAACGAGTGCTTAAATTACAACTTTGGTTTGAACCACAACACTGTAGATGCTCCTCCCATGAACTATAAATACAAATAATCGCCGACAGAATTTAAACACCTAACCTAACCAATGCCTAAATATGCACAGTATGCTAATATATAACAATATTAATTTATATTTGAGAATTCCTATTATGAATGAACAGCATGTTATATTGATGAATGCGTTCTTGGGGTTGCCGGCTGAATAGACTTGGTCTGAGGACGGGTTGCTGTATTGGTTCGCAGACTTTCAGGATACATTTCCAGTGGGGTGGAGGAGTGTTATCTGCTATGGCTCGCTCTCTCTCTGCCTCTGTGTTTGAGCCAGGTTCTGGCTCTGGTCCCCACCACATGTAAGGGGCATAACTGGCCAACCTCTCACAGTGTTCAAGAGAACTTGATAAAACACCTTCAAAGGATACCTGATCAACCAGGCTGTGACTCAAATCACAAGCTGCCACATCAAACAGCCTGGTTGACTAGTCCAACGAGGAGGCCTGGTCGACAACCGGGCCGCAGGGACACTAAGCTCTGAAAACACCTCAAGGTAACCTCAAGCTATACTAAACAAAACTACATGGCTGATGTAACCTAGTTGTTGGGAGTCTTTCCAACAATATGGCTTCAGGAAGCCACAAGGGGCTTTTCCCAGAGAAGAATCACTAAATAAAGGCATGCTAAAATGTCTAATTACTAGTTACTAATCAATGCTAATTATCTAATTACACAAGTAAAACATATGAAAGTACTTACCCATTGCTCTATTTTCCTAATTTGGCCAATTTGTTATCTAATGTACTTGCTTATGATAAGCTTTTCTCTTCTTGTAAAAGTGTTGCTATCTCTTATAGGAGTGGAATGGGATACAAATCAAGAAAGGTTATTAAAACACAAATATTATCCAAAATGAATGTTAACTCCTTTATACAACATATTACAAATATGATAAACATACAAACAAGGTGATACCAACACCATTTACATTTTCTCATTTCACAAAAACACTGGGGTCAATATTACTTTGCGACTTAGCAACACAGTCGCTGGTGACATGACACTTGGATTGGCAGAAAAATAAAAATGCGATGAATCAGAGAAGTGCAAATTTGACGTCCTGACTAGTTTGGAGCGCAACTGGCAATGTTTGTCAACATCTCTTCAAGAAAACAAAATAATTACAATGCTGAATGCAACTACAGTAACATACTTTCTATGAACATTGAAACTTTGTATATTTCTGGACATAATCATTACAACTTTTGGCCATCTGCTCAAAACAAATTTTATGGTTTAATAGTACAGTAGATTGATTATGACGATGAAATGGGAACGTGCATGTATTAATTCAATTACTATTGAATTACCCGTCATCTATAATCTGATACATTGTCTTACAAAGGGATGTATATTTCCAAGAGCCCTTTCCCCATGAGCTAAGAGATTACTGCTTTAGTTTCTCATTAAATTAAATAACATCTGATTTAATAACACAATCTCCATGGCTTTTACTTGTCTAACAGTAGGTCAATCATTCTTGTACAGATTTGAATGAGAACCAAGTAAATTATGTTCTCTTCATTTAGTATTATTCTAGACACAAACCTATAGCTGATCAGACTAAGAATGAAACAGTAATGAAACTGGAAACTAAAATCGGATTTCCTAATATTTAACAGAATTACACAGAACAGATGAAACTAGTCTTATTTGAAATGGCATTTTTGGGCATATAATCAAGACTTAACAATAGTGCAAACTTTAATAATTTGTATATTGTAAGCAATTATAGGAAAATGGCAAGATCATTTAAATAAAATATGTAAAGAAAAGAAAGTTTGAATACATGAAATGAGCTGGTAAAAACTTATACAGGACTCCAATACTAAAACTATCAAATAATATTCGTTTAGCTATCAATTAATGTTTTAACAATGATCAATTGGGTATCAACCATACAACTTGTATTTCTGTTCCAACATTCATAAGAGGACAAGTTAATATAGTGATACATTATATTTATTTATATTTATATATATTTATATATATATATATATATATATATATATATATATATATTTATATATATATATATATATATATATATATATATATATATATATATATATATAATAGAAAGAGAACTGTAACAAAACAGCATATGGTATTTAATTTCACAGTTTCCTTCTGCACCGGGCAGAAAGAATGGCACTTCAGCACAAGGGACTATGTAATAAGACGTGAGTACAAGCCAACTACCAGAGCTGCACACTCCACCTAGAGAGGGTAGGTCTGTTTAAACATCACATTTGTTTTAGCAATGTTATTACACTAATAATAATAAAAAAGTCAATCAAACGGCTTAAAGTTCTTATACTTGTAAACTTACACTGCATATAAATAATTAAAAACCATCTTATTTAGAAATTGCATGATTATATCTGATAAGGCATTGTCAAACAGCTGCTTTTTACAATAACTCAACTTGCCCTTTGTCCAGTATCAGGCTAACTCGTGTTATGCATAGTGTATGATTTCCAGTGCTCAAACTTGCCTACATTTGCAAATAGATGCTGTCAATAACTCCAAATATAAAATAAAACTTATTAAAAAAGTACTTTAGCATTTTTTAATTTAAATCTTGACGAAATACAGTTATCAGATATGACAGTGAATTTTCTTTTGTTGTTCATAGGCTTCTTAAATTCAAAAAAGCTCCTAAAGTATGGAAAACAATTAATATAGTTTAGCTTGAATTCAAGACTTACTAATACTGATACAGTACATTCCATTCTTTTTAAGTTTCTTAACAGACATTGTTGCAGTAACATAACTGCTAGTCAAATACAAAATTATGCAAATTTAAGAATAATCAGCTGTTTGTAGGAGCATGTATGTCATTGAAGATGGCAAAATCAAACAACTCTATTGCATGTTAAGGTTTGTGCTTTATAATTTTTAATATAAATAAAACAAAATCACAGGGTTTATGAACAATGAATACTTAAATGCTGGTAATTGGGTATCTGAAAAAAAAAATCGAAGCAAGAAATTTGGTTATGCTGAAAACCGTCTAAAACATTTGGTAAAACAGATGCTCAAATTTATTAGTTGACACAATTCATCCAGGAGCTGATGGTTCTAATAGAGAATTTATGTTTCTAGTGATGTATGTAAATAACACCTGAAACCTTAGTCTATCAGAGTTCACCTGGTAATTGTCAGGAACACAGGGAGGCACTTTATGGAGGGACTTGATTTCTGTGGGTAAGGAAGACGAACATTTCTGAGGTAAATGACATCTGGGACACCTCATCACATTTCTATGGGAATCATTCCCATAAGGCAGTTAATTTAAAGCACAGGATATTCCTCGTCTCAGGAAGTCAATATATACACTCAATTGTCACATTCCTCTAGAATGTTTTAAATATTTCACAAGCACTGGAAAATTTAAGGTACTTAAAAACAGCTTCCTGTAACAGGTCCACACAACAGATGGTGCACTGCAATAATTGGGATCAATATCATATGCTGCCAAGAAATTCTTGGAAGGTTATGACAATGTTTTGTGTTATTGGCACTGACATCTAGGCACATACTCAGATCATAGTATGCCAGTATTGTTCGCATTCCAAAGTTACACACACGTTTACATTGAAAGTCTTGTAAACCGAGTGATTATAAAAATGATAAATATCCATGCAGTCACTAGATGTCTTAGCTGCGACCCTTAAAATTCACTATCGGGTATGTCTTTGGTTCAAGGTTTTTGTCATTCATGCATTAACACAGAGAGAGAGAGACACGTTTGCCATTCCTCTTGTTCAAATTTTGCATAGAGGAGCTTAGCATCCACAAGCAAGATAGGCTGAGCATGCTTCTTGGCACATGAGGAAGTTGGGAAGGATCATGCTGCAAGACAGAATTTTCTTCCGAGATAACCAGTTTTGAAGCATCACAATGAAGTGTGTTCATGAAAAAAACACTAAATCAGTGTCTAGATTACTTGTTAACTAGTCGAACAGAATATCTAGACTAATTTATCTATTTCTGTTAACATGTATAACATGAACTTTAACATTGAATTAATACGTTCTACACGCTCAATATTCTGCTTAACAAGGTATCAAGTAATTAAGGCATTAATGAGAGGAAAATAATTACATTTCAATCAAATACCGAATCTCAAGAAAGCCACAATTTAAAAAAAAAAAAAAAAAAAAAAAAAAAAAAAAGTGCACTAGTTAATTACAATTACAATGTGTTCATACTGGTTACCTATTTACTTCTATAAAAAAAAAAATTACCACAATTTCACTGTACCATTAAAACTTGAAATTATCAATATAACTATTTTTTGCTTTGTGAAGACAAGCTACAGTGCTCCCTCTAAAATCTAGATTATATTATTCCAGACCAGGTGTAAATTTACATGAATAATAATTTACATAAATTTCTGAATAATTCCAAATGTTTTGGCCATCACCAAATTTTCCAGATTTTTATATATAAATCTCAAAATGAAAATGAATCTTAAACATTTGCTATAATTATGCTTAATGGGTTTCCCACAGAACAATTTCTCTACGTTGCATTCTATGATAATCTTTAAAAATGTGATCAGATAAATATTAAAAGTTACTATTAAACCCTAATTTTTCAAATACAATATGGGTGAATTTCATCAAGTGAAACATAAATAATCTATCATATGATAGATATTTACTGAGAGATCCTATCAGTAGAGAGATTTGACCCTCATCCCAAGTATTTTCCAAGAACCAACCACTTTCTTATTTCTCAAAAAGGTACCATTTCACTGACCCCTCTAATGCTGTAAAATGTAACAGGCCCAAAGACTTTCCCCACACCCAAAACACTTTCTTTAGCTCAGATTGTGTATGAAATATCTTTGGAACCTATTCCAATAAATAAGATAATAGGGTCTTTTTCAAAATAACATTTTTAACACTTCCACCAAGCCACTTTCAAAATGAAAACTAGCCATATGATTTATTCTTAAATAAACCACCGAATTTCTCACCCTAAACATTTCTTTGGCTCATCCATCCTTTTTGTCCAGCCACTTGGGCTGGACGGTAGAGCTACAGTCTCAATTTATGCAGGTCGGCATTCAATCCCCAACCGTTCAAGTGGTTGGGCACAATCCCTTCCCCCCGCCCCCATCCCAAATCCTTATCTTGATCCCTTCCAGTGCTATATATAGTCTAACGGCTTGGCGCTTTTCCCTGATAATTCCCTTAACTCCCCTCATCCACCTTTTCCCATGACCAAAACTATTTTATGAGCAACTTTATCCGTCTTTTTTTTTTATGAAAAATTTACCCTATGGAAGTCTGGATTTTCGAGTGAGCACTATAATCTGTTAAAACTTTAAAGTAAATATATTAAATACATAAAATTTACAAGAGGAAAGCTATGAATCTGTAGGAAAATTTAGAGAATAACCATTGATAAGAATAGTAGAAATTAAATATTTGTCAAATTACAACCACTCACTTTAGCAATAATCAAATAATATCACTCAATGCCACAAAATTTGCATGAAGATCCATCACACTTTTATGTTCTTTTGGGTGTCTAACATTATTTACAATATATGTTGTATACAACTCTCATTGAAGTTTGAAAACAAGATCATATTCAACAATATATATACCTCAGAGCCACAGGAGGAAAAGTTTCACATACATCAAATCAGTTGCCATTAATGATACTGTATTACTTTGGGAGAATCTTCATCACTTATTTTCAAGATGAGAATCAGTCAGTTTAAATTATAAGAGTTTTCAGTACTGGTAATCATCCGAGTCGGCATAATCAGGATAATCATCATCAACGTCCATGGGATCAGCGGCCAGGTTAGTGACAGTCGCCGAGAGCGGAGAGTGCTTGTTGAGGGCTCCTCCACTCCCTACGCCTCCCAGATTGTTCCTGCTGCCTCCGTTCGAGTCCAAGGCATCGTCACATCCCATCGATAACTCATCTTCGTCTCCGTAGAACCTGAAAATTTTAGATGAATGACTACAATACCCTCCTCACAAGCTCACTGACACACACAAATACTGTACATCAAGATCTGGATTCATCACACAAAATACTGGCTGGAAAACTGTTTACTATCTTAATCAAATCATAGTAACAGATATATTGTATATTAACAAAAAAAAAAAAAATGGTCTAGAGATTTCACATCAAGTATATATATGAGCACATTAAAGCAAATTCTGGGGTCACACAAAAAAAGAACAAGAAGTTGTTCAACATTAATCAAACAAACATGCTTTTGTCATCATCAAAAACGAAACTTATTTGTAAAAAAAAATTGAAAAACTGATTACTGTACTTCAAAAGTATATAAATTTACACATTCATCCTTCTCTCTCGAGAGAGAGAGCACAAGAGTATGACAGCACAAGAGAAAGGGATAGGGAGGAAAGTAATTATCAGGGGAAAGTACTAAGCCATTACTCCTCTAAAGCACTTGGAAAGGGTCAGGACAAGGATTTGGGATGGGACAGGGGAAAGGAATGGTGCCCAACCACTTGGACTGTCGGGGATGGAAAACGCCCTGCATAAAGTAAGACCGTCATTCTACCGTCCAGCTCAGGTGGATAATGAGGGAGAGAAGGAATGAATGTGTAAATTTATTTACTTTTTATTCCAGATTTCATTCAATTTTGATTACATTATTATGTATATTGAAATGCACAACAATGTAATTACACCTTGTAAGGAGGGTGCCAAATGAACACCTGATCCAAGCACTAGACTAAGACTGAAAGCTGCCATACCTACATAGAAAATAGTAACGAGAGAGTGAGTGGCAGCAAGAGAGGGGCACAATTTGGAGGATTCTAGCTTTTTTACATACCTATTCTAGTTTTCTATTAAGAGTTTATCCTTTTGCTAGCCATAATTATTTATACAAATACACTGACTAGTCCAACCTAAGCACTATAAATAAATCTCAATACTGTACTGTAAATTTTTAACTTAATTATGACTTTCAATTACTGTTTTAAACTTTTTTTTATCAAAGCTCTGCTATAAAGCAACATGATAATTTGAAAAGCTGTATTTTAGTAATCATGAGTTGTGTATTCTATATCAATAATAATTAATTAATTTTTGTATTTAAATATAATAAACACAATTGAGAAATAGACCGTTACAAAAAGGCCTTAAGCATGTTAGTGCTAGCTTCATAAAACAGAAAACAGTCATCCAGGTTGTCACAGTCATAAGTAACTCTTCCTCTATATATGTGTGCCTATGTTTATGTATGTACTCGCCTACTTGTGCTTGCCGGGGTTAAGCTTCAGCTCTTTGGTCAACCATCAATCTACTGGTGTACAGATTCCTGAGCCTACTGGGCTCTATCATACCTACATTTGAAACTGTGTATGTAGTCAGCCTCTACCAAATCACTGCCTAATGCATTCCATTTGTTAATTACTATGACACTGAAAAAGTTCTTTCTAACATTCTAACATCTCTGTGGCTCACTTGGGTACTAAGTTTCTACTTGTGCTGGTTTCAGGAATTCCTCTTTGTAAACTTGGTCGATTCCTGTTAGAATTATGTAAGTGGTGATCATATCACCTCTATTTCATCTATCTTCTAGTTTTAGCACATTTAATGCCTCTACTCTCTCCTCGTAACTCTTGTTTTTCAGTTCCGGAAGTCATTTTGTAGCATGCCGTTGCACCATTTCCAGTTTATCTGCTTTTTGAGATTTTAGCATCATACAACTGCTGCATCTTCCAATTTTGGTCGCACTAAAGTCATGAACAGTTTCTTTAGTATTTCACAATCCATGTAATTAGAAGCAAGTCTGAAGTTGGAAAGCGGCACATACGCTCCTCTCAAAATGTTGTGTGTGTGTTCCTCTTACGTGTGTACTCAATTAGCTGTGCTTGCGGGGGATGAGCTTTGGCTCTTTGGTCCTGCCTCTCAACCGTCAATCTACTGGTGCACAGATTCCTGAGCTTCTCAAGCTCCATCATGTCTACATTTGAAACCGTGTATGGAGTCAGTCTCTACCACATCACTTCCTTCTACATTCCATTTACTAACTACTATGACACTGAAAAAGTTCTTTCTAATGTCTGTGGCTCATTTGGGTACTCAGCTCATGTGTCCCCTTGTGTATGTACCTACCTGTGTTAAATAGTTCATCCTTGTCTACCCTGTCAATTCCCGAGAATTTTGTATACGTGATCATGTTTCCCAGAGCTCTTCTGTCTTTCAGCAACGTGAGGTGCAGTTCCCGCAGCCTTTCCTCATAACTCATGCCTCTTGGTTCTGGGACTTGCCTAGTGGCATACCTCTGAACTTTTTCCAGCTTTGTCTTGTGCTTATGGGCTCCATGGTGGGATCACATACTCCAGGATTGGTCTTACATATGTGGTATATGAGGTTCTGAAAGATTCCTGACAGGTTTCTGAAGGCAGTTCTGATGTTAGCCTGATTGATACCGGGTTGGTTGCTTCACATATGCCACTAATGTTATTCTTTTGATGTGGGCTTCAAGAGACAGGTTTGGTGTGATATGAACTACATCTTTCTCTCTGTTTCATGAAGGACTTCATCTCCCATTTGGTATCCAGTGTCTGGCCTCCTATTTCTCTGCCTAGTTTCATTACCTTGCATTTACCTGGGTTGAACTTAGTAGCCACATGTTGGACCATTTGTTGTGTGTGTGTGTGTATGTATGTGTACAAGTATAATCACTAAGAACTCTTTTTGACCCAACCAGGATTCGAACACCTGCCACCCAGGATCACTTATTGGCATACAAAATACCGTAACCACTACACCAATCATTGTCTCCTTACATGTACAATATATACAGACCCGTACATCTCAATATACATTCACACTCACACTTGTGCACGCACGCACGCACGCACGCACGCACGCACGCACGCACACACACGTGCGCACACACACACACACACACACACACACACACACACACACACACACACACACACACACACACACACACACACACACACACACACTTGAAAATGCAAATACTGTGCAAGTTGTCAAAAAGTCTACATGTAGATACATCTTATCCAAATGAAGCTAGATGCTATTGCTAAATTAATCAAGCATTTGTGATACTCTATAGCTCCAAAGAACTACTATTCCTGCCATAAAAAGAAATTTAACAATCTAATCATTTATAAAACCAGAGCATAGCATACAACACTTGAATTTTCAAAGAAAATGTATAATTTCAAAAAGTATGATTTAAAGTGATGCTATGGCTTTAGTCAAAATTGTAATGTCTACATATGAATAAAACCTCTAAGCTATGTTAGCTTAGAGGTTATATCTCTAAGCTATGTTACTGTTGGTAAAAAAAATGCTATTTTGTGGGAAAAGGGCCAAAAAAATACAAACATCAAATTAATATTCTGCTTAATAACAATATTACAAGGCTAACCTGCCATTGCAGCGAGGCAGTGCACAAACAAATATGCCAAGTATCAAGTGAATGTAAATAAGTGGACACATTAACAAGAGAAAGGTGGTGAGGGCGCACACAAAGTACACAGCTGGCATGCAAGTGCCCAGGCAGGGACCGAGCCCCTACAGATGCACAAGCTTCCCACCTTATTATCTGTGCACCAGCCTCAAAGACTCTCCTCCACAATCCTGCAAGGTGCACCAAGCACTTAAGTTTCTCCACTACCTCCTCCACCATCATCTAATCTTCCACCCAAGAAGAACCTAAATGAAAAAAGTCAACAACCTACTTTTACCATCCTCATAGGGGGGGAAAGTCATTGATAACAAAGGATATGGGCATGGTGGGGGAGGGTCACAGTTAAAGCAACAAGGGTGTGCCACAGGAGGAGGGTGATGTGGTGGGTCATGAATGTCAAGGGACACTGCAACTTATTTATCAATAACTGAATCTACCACATGAAAATTAACTCAATTCATCAGTTTTTTTAAAAACAAATACAGTATATAAAAGAATAATTTTACTTTTATTTCATAAAACACTGTATTCCTCTCAAATTCAAATCTAATTCCTTATTACTACTAACAGGCTTCCTTAAGTATAAAAAAAAAATCTAGAATAAATTATATATTGATGTAACTTTAATTTAATAAATATTGAATTACAACATTGGTTATTTATCTACTTGTAATAAAGCACACATTACAAGTACAGTATTTTACATCGCATTGTACTGCATTATAAGAAAGAAAAATCAAAATAATTCATAAATATTATCTATGTATAGCTAAATAATATGGTTAATAAACGTAAGATGCTTTGAGAGGAATTTACATGAAAAAACTAGTATCAGAGCTGAAAAGTTGGGAGAAGGTAGAATACATAATAAAGCTCAAGATAAAAAAATATTTTTTCAGTTGTGGCATACCCTATGCAACAACAAAAGTTATTACAACACAGTAAGGCATTATGACTTATCATGTCGACTGCACACCAATACACTTACTCATGCTAATGTCGAAAATAACTTGCCTGACTATATAGATTGCTAATCCTTAAATGTCTATTCTGGAATGTGAATATTTTCTAGGTTTTTGCTTTTTTTATCTTGCTGAAAGAGGTAAAACATTAACTAGAATGACTGTCAACATAAAAACATTCACAATAAAGCTTAAACGTTCAATAAAGAATTACACGTTTGTGTAATTCAAACTTCAAGGCATTTCATTTTAAACTGTCATAATGTAGTTTATGTCCAATATAAAATAAATTCTGTATTAAGAAAAAAAAGAGAGAGAAGAAGGGTTAACAATCTCGGTTTATAGATTATGAAAAAATTATTAAATCGTTAAAAATTGAATTAATATTCTTAATTAACAATGAATGGCATATTTGTATTTTTGTTTTACTAAAGTATTCAAAATTTATATCCTAACTGCTATAACAGTATGTTTTATTAAATTAAGGCAATCTTCCATACTTAAAAGAAAGAATTTGAGCGCACATGAAAAGCACATACCCGAGCGGTACATTTTTCAGGGGTAAACATGAAAACTGTGCACGCTGAATCATACTGGTGAAAGGGACACTTGGAGACTACAAAATCCATTCCAGAATACAGATCCAGAGAGAAGGGCATTTACATGAAAACTCAAAGCCTTGCAAGGAAAGGAACCATGGCCTCAAGAAACAAAGCTGCATCCATGCTAACACCTAAGTAAGGCCACAAGATCTACTCGTACTAGAGTTGTGAGGACAAGTGTGCCTGACAGGCACATCAGGTTGCAGCTGATGCAGCAACCTGATGCAGCAATTGCTGATGCAGATTTGCTGCACAAAAATAGAGCATACAGGGTCATATTCAAGGAGACTGGCGCTTGTCTTGCACTCAACACACTCAAGATGAGCAACCTTCAAATCAAACACCATAGTACACAAGAACATCTGCTGTTTCCACAATTAGAAAACAAAGAAATACCTGCTATCTAGGAAGAAATTAGTACAGCAGGTACTACAGACCAAGCTACATAAAGACCCAAACTCAAAATAATCCATGTTTAGGTCAAAAGCATGAACCCCAACACAACAGGAACAATAGAAGATCCTGATTGTCTAAACAGGGAGGGGAAACAAAGAACCAGTTTCATCTTCCCCTGAGAAGGATCGTGAAATGGGATACACAATCCACATCTGGAAATACATGGGACCTGATAACCAGTCAAAGAAAGGTAAAATGGAAACTAGGATGGCTCCTTCATTAAAACCTCAGACTGGGCCACATAGCCCACCTGGGATGATGATGGAGTGGCTACTGATACAGGCCAAGGAAGTAGAGCCCATCCTCAGGCCACCTTACCTCGAGATGGTTACCTTGAGATGTTTTCGGGGCTTAGCGTCCCCGCGGCCCGGTCCTCGACCAGGCCTCCTCGTTACCAGTAAATAGGGAACATTCAGAAGCAATTTAGCTTCCCCAAGGAAGGAGGAATAACTTCCTCTCAGAAGAAGGAGGCAGCGGTTCTGGGCAAAGCTTGTAATTACCAAACAAACCATTTGTGGAAAGAGGAAGAACCAACTCTATACTTCCAAACATACTTGAGCAAGGACATGCAGTGTACTTGCTGGAGTAGGCCAAGTTTTAATTCTTTTTTATCCTGACTTTCATTCTTCAATCACTTTGTGTACTGTACAGACTCCTGAGCCCCTTGACTTCTGCAATGTTTACGTGTGAACTTGTGAATGCAGTTTGCCTCCTTTATTCCCTTGCACATTCCATTTGTTCACTATTTTGATAATGAAAAAATATTTTCAAAGTCTGTCATTCATTTGAGTAAAGTAATTAGAGTAATACAGTAAGACATGGTCAAAAGAATTGCAACCGGGAGTGCTACTGCCCTCACACGGATCCCACAGCCTCTCTCAGACACAAACCGGGGTTTTACACAATTCCCCCCCCCCCATGCACCCGGGCTCTGTCAACCAGATGTTCTACCTCTCTGCCCTTACTTCAATACACACACAAATCACAATAGCGTGATATATCAAATGAACAAATCCACAGGGGACGTGACGAGGGTTCGAACCTATGTCTGGGATGATCCCAGATATAGATTCAAACCCTCATCACGGCCCTTGTGGATTTGTTCATTTAATAATAATTATGTTCAAGTACCACCAATACCAAACAACCTATCCTTGTCTGTCCTATCTATGAGAATTTAGAATGCAGTGATCACATCTTCCCATACTCTTCTCTTCCAGTGACATTATGTATTATTTACAGAGAGTTTTCTCGTAACTTATATCTTCAGCTTGGATTTATGTTAACAAGATAAGAACTACATGCTAGCACTGTACATTCCACAATTCGTCTGGTATGTGGCATGTATCATCCTGAATTACTCTTATTTTAAAAAAACATTCATTTGATTAGGGTTTTAAAAAAAACATTTTGGAGATATTAGCCCCTGGTATTTTTCCTAAGATTCTACAAGGCTATCCTCTCCCATATGGTACTCTGTGTTCAACCTCCTGATCCCAGCATTCAGCTTCATTGCTTTGCATTTGCTAAAGTTAAACAATGTACATGAAACAAATATGTAAATTACTTGGCAAAACTTACATGTCGTCTTGGTGATCTGCTCCTCCTTCTTCGGCAACTAAAAGCTCATATTCTTCGGCAGCATAACGATCCCAGTCGGATACCTGCAGAAACTGGTCAAGGTCAGGCACACATGCTTAAACCTTGTAGAGCTAATCAGTTATATAAATGGCTTTATGGAAGTGTTATGAGGAATAAAAATAGAACATTACATGTTCAAATTGCTGACATTATAAAACTTTCACAGTACGTTAACAAATTAAGAAATTGCCTCATTCTGTTGTTACAATGCAATAATTGTAATAGCACTGTAATAATCACTCAAAGAGTTGCAGCTTAAACTGAAATTCACACAAATGCTTTCATTATTAATCAGACTTAAGCTAGCAAATCACTCAAACTTTTTATTAACTACCAATTACTGGATTTACTCGAGTCCAGAAAGCAGGAAAGATTAATAAAATATTGATCAGAGAAAATCTACGGAGCAGGAAAGTGGGATCGAACCAGTGATTTCATTGTGTATGATTAATCAGGTTTCTGTCATCATTTAAGCTAGAGGTGGCTGAAATCACCAATGGAAAATGTATTTTAAAAGAATATGTTAGAAAAGTGGTTTTGTAATTGACGTTATGATAAAAGTACGAGCGAGTTATGTGCATCAAAAAGAGATACAAACATGCCCAAGTTTAAGATCTTAGAGGAAGGATCATGAGATATATCACCAGGCAACATATGTGAGTTGATGTAAAATAAAGTAGTACGTGTAATAAAACAATCTACGTGTTATGAAACAATTTGCAGAAACGGCATCAGAGACAAGAATACACACAAGATTGAGTCAAACACTTTCTGGCTCTTGCAGTACTATAACTTTGCCCTACCTAGGAGCCTAACCCATTAAAATAAAATTGTTAAGGCATTATGCATTAACATGTTCAGAACAGTACGTGTGAAAGCCTAAATGTTTTAATAGAATACCCAAGCCAATAGTAATTGGACAAAACTACAAAATACAGTACAATAAAAAGATGCAAGAAAATTAATGATAACTTAAGCAATCCACCAATAATAAAAAGGTAGACTGACATTTTTCTTTAACATGTAGGCAATTATAAAATGAATTTGCTAATTGCAGCAGTTTCAACATACCTCTGGTCCGTCATCATCAGCACGGTGGGAGGCAAATGGATCACGTTGCTCATGGTCCAAATATTTCTCCAGGTTGAAAAATGTGTCAAAGAATATGGGAGTCATTCGACACTTTTTCAGATCCCTGAGTGAGATCTTGTCAATTTCCTCTGGTCTAACCATATCTAGCATCTGTAAAAAATCATAAGATCTTTAATGCATTTTCAAACAATTAGCTAATAAATATTCCATAAATATAAAATATTAAAGAAAATATTTACTGAGAAACTTACCCTATCATTAACCCTACCCTCACTAGCAGTTACTTCAAGACAACAATTTAATGGGAGAAATTGCAAAATATGCCAAAAATTCAATTTCACACACACAATGTCCTTTTTCAGTAGACTGACTTTTTTTTACCTTATACTGTACAGATAAAAAATTAAACATCCTTTATTCATTTACCTGACAAAGACAATCATGAAAAGGTAGAGTTTCAATGCCCAAAGCTTCCATACGCTGCAACTGTTCTTCATAGAAGTATTCCAGCTCGTACATAGATAGGTAACCATCTCCATCAAGGTCCATGCATCTAGTTGGAAATAATTTTTATATTGTGAGATCATTAATATTTTCAGGGGCTTTAAATGACTTACTTTGTATGATTAAAAGTATAATATACAGTAAATATACAGTAAATATATATTTTTATTAAGATACGCAGTGCTTATGTTTGCTTTCTTTTGTAATTGTATTTTGCGTTTACCTAAACCAATACTCTATAGCTGTTGGATGCCGTTTGTCTTCTTCAGAAATTAAGAACCACACAAATTCTTGGTAACCCATGCGATCTTGTTTCTGCAGCCGTCCTCTTGTCACTGCTCCACTAAATATACGCTCAATCATACGCCAAGAGAGTGCTGAAAGAAAAAATTTCATATTTAAAAGTTTATTAAAAGTCGTAAGTTACTTAACTAATAGATTATTTTATAAATCAAAATGAATAATATAACTTACCTCGTTCATTGTGTTTGGCCAGATCATGCTTGTCAATGAACAAATCATGATCGGTGTCCAGTTCCCAGAACTTGCAATAAATGACATAGAAGTGTTCATAGCTAAAGTAATCTGTGATTTGGTTAATATCTTCTTCCTCATCTAAATAGATTATAACCTGTGGAAACGTAAAAGATTGAGATCAGGTAAAAATGTAGTTACATCAATAAAGTTACAGTATTCAGCATCATTTAACTCTTTAACAGCTCCGCGAATTAAAAGTCCTACATCATGGTGCTCGTGACAAAAAAAAAAAATAAATAAAAAAAAAATAAAATCACAATTAGCAGTTTGAACACAGGAGGCAACCATAGATAGTGAATGAAGTCATTTAAGGGTTAAAGATTTATAGTTAAAAGGCATTTCCAGTCAAAAAACAAAAATCCTGAAAAGAATGATAAATGTTCAAATCATTTCTGAGCAATCTGTCTTATCCAAAATTACAAAGTTATCATTAACCATCATTAACACAGACAAATAAAACTACCCGATTGTGGTTTCAAGCTTCACCATTCTCACAGCCCAATCTTGCCAGGCATTCATAGCTGATGTTTGTTAAGATTTGTACAATATACATTAATCATTGTACTGCGCAGAGCACCCTAATGCGCGCTGAGAGTTGTGCTACAATACAGTATTTTTTTTAATTAGGCTATATTTCAATGTTTTTTAATGTTTTCATCACTCTTTGTGTTTTGAAATGAAAATGGTTGAGTTTTGGAAACATTTTGACATTAACTTTACCTGAACATTTATAAAAACAACAAAAATATGTCTTTGACAATTACTGTTCTATGAAGTTTTTGCCAAAACCAGGTGCCCAGTGCGGTAGTTAAAACAATCTTTATCACACTTCTTTAAGAATTAAGCCACAGCAGTTTCAATGAAAGTACTGTACTGTACATAAAAATTTACATTTGCCCAATGAATTCCACAAATTAAGTTGAATCTTCATCAATTAAAAATGATAAAGATGGCTTTAAACCCTTTGTAGATTTCCATTCTAGTACCGAGTGAAAACATCAGTAGCACAAAGGTAAATTTCCATAACAGTACATGACTATTATTTCTTACTTCAGAGTAAAAAATTTATCATGTTACACCTGGTATACAAAAAGAACACATGCATGCACAATAACCATATTTCTGGAGACAAGGGGCCAGATTCACGAAAGCACTTACGCAAGCACTTACGAACCTGTACATCTTTTCTCAATCTTTGGCGGCTTTGTTTCCAATTATTAAACAGTTAATGAGCTCCGAAGCACCAGGAGGCTGTTTATAACAATAAAAACAGTTGAATGGGAAGTTTTCATGCTTGTAAACTGTTTAATAAATGTAACCAGAGCCGTCAAAGATTGAGGAAAGACGTACTCGTTCGTAAGTACTTGCGTAAGTGCTTTCGTGAATCGGGCCCAAGTTATCCTAAACGAGTATTTATACTTTGATATTTATTAATAAACTGTTAAGTATGCACTAAAAAGAGAATATAAATACGTGAAAAGTGTTAATATAAAGTGAATATAAAAAGTAATAATAAATACATTATTGTATTTATGTAAAATATTTAATAATTTTTTTGTTTCTTTATACATTATGCCTTATCTAATGCAATTCTTTCAATATATTTTATCATATCCAAAATTTCACCTGGTGGTTAACCAAATTCCATAAATATTACCCTAAAAAGGGTTATGGCATTTAAAAGAATCCTTATCATTCATCACAACTCCAATAAGATCTATTGAAAAAGTTATGGTATATGTACAAGTGTATGACACAAATTTCACATGTTTACAAAAGAAAAGGATATACAACTTACTTGTAACAAATTAGATCTCCTAAGCTCTGGCAAAGTTATTCTGCCCGACCAAGATCTATTTACACAATAATATATTCTTGCTATGACCTGCAATGAAAGAATTGGATAAAATGTAAACATTTATTATCTAACAGTACTGTTCTGTACTGATTTTAAATCATATATCAAACCTAAATGTTTAATGTGGTAAACATCTGGGATGGTCAAGTTCCAGAGACAAATTTATCTACACAGAGACTGGATGAAAAATTAAAGTTTAACTGTTAGTTTCAATGTTTGCAAAACAGCTCATGTTTATATTCTAGTGATAATATAAATGCTCTACAGAAATGACAGGTATAGTGCCAATTTCATTCTTCTATCAGTGATTTGCCGGGTATATGGAATTGATACCTGATCATCATTACCCTATTTCAAATTTTCATAGGGTGGAGATGCATTAGCCCAAAAGATATGTTGAATATAACAAAATAGGTTAAGAATGTTAATGATACAGTACTCATAAAAGATACTCATTCATCATATCTTCCACTCTACACACCATGGAACCTCTGAATCAACACGCACACAGTCTCCAGTACTCGCACCCCTGCCTTTCTCGTTTCCCATGTCTAATAATCTACATGGCATTTTCCTTCCCCAATCTTCAAGTTTCCTTTATCACTATCATTATTATTCAATGTAAAATTCTCATTTTTGTTTATAGAACAATATGAAATGGCAAATGCTTGCAGTTATCTTTGTGCAACTTTCCATGGTGATTTTTGATAGGATGAGGAGTGACAGTGGTGGGTTGGGGTTGACCATTTTAGGCAGGATTATCTCTTACTGTAACAACAAATGACCCTCTATGAAGTAAAATGGTGTTCCCATAGAGTTTTCCACCAGACAGTTAGAAATGTTTGTCTTCACATAGTCAAGGGTACCTGCATAAATGCAGATGTACCCAAAGTGTTAATAAAAAAAAATTTAGGGATTTTTTTGTATCACTGCTACCTTATTCACTCTTGTGTTCATGATGATATCCTCAAAATGCACCCAGAGTTTGCCAGTGCAGAATACTGATCACATGGCCCTGAATGACTAACCATCCTGTGTGATGGGGATTTTTAGCATCACGTACATGTAGTTAATTCTTGATACACTGTACTCCCCTTTTCTATAGTCTACATTAGCAGCACAATGTAGATGTAACTAAATACGTTAATAAAAAAAAATTCTTTACCTGTACCCCACTAGCCAAGTACTGTATACATTTCTACCTCGGACTCAATTTTAAGAACAGAATCGGGAATAGATCACACAATTACTTCCACTCATATGATGTAGTTCTAATCAGACTATAACAGTAAAAAAAAAAAAAAAAAAAATCCTCCCCTCTTAATTTTGGCTAGAGGCATCACTGATGCATACAACTAAACTGTCATGTGATACAAAACAGAACTCACAGTGTGAACATATCTGGAGTGGAACTCTGTGGCCTCCTTAAGGAAGGTTAGCCCAGGGTGTGTGTCCACCACATCCTGGATCATGCTGAGGAAGTCCTCAGGCATGAGGTAGTTTCGCATGCCACGACTCAACACCCGCACAAACCGAGAGGCCATATCGTGACAAGTAGAAATAACTCTGCAATGATTGTATCAAATCACATTCAAGGTTATGAGCTTAGCAGCCACAATGCAAATATTTATTTTATATTTCTGCAATTATATGTAACAATAATTAACCGAGATACAGTTTAATAACTAAATATTTACTTTACCGTTCAAAATTGTACACGTAAGTTACACAATTTTAAGAAAAATGAGACTAGATTTTAGCATGGTAACAAATATATGTTTGCAATATTATACTGAATTAAAATTCAATATTTTAAACGAAGTACCAGTAATTACTATTTCACTCAAACTATATAGTGGTACCTTGATTTTTTTAATTTAATCCATTCCCAGAGACAGCTCGTAAACCGAAAATTCGCAAACCGAAACGAATTTTCCCCATAAGAAATAATGTACAGTAAATTGAATTAATCCGTTCACACTCCCAAAAATATTAATTTTAAAATATATTTCATACATAATACACACTAATATTTTGTAATGTAATATATACAAGTAATAGCTTACTTTTATTGATGACTTGTTGGCGTATGTTAGATAGTGAGGAGGGGGGAGGAGAGGTGTTAGTGTTTGGAAGGGGAGTCCCCTTCCATTGTTACATCAGGCAGTGATGACTTCTCTGGGGTACTCTCTCTCCTATGTTTTGCCTGCATAACACTAGGACCTGGTTGTGGCTCACCGCTTGTTTTTCTCACTAAGAACCTTTCCATAGAGACTTGTTTTTCCCTACGTCTTAACACTTGTCTGTAGCGAGACATCGCATTCATTCACTCTGAATAAACGTAGGGAAAAACAAGTGTCCTTAGACAGATACTTAGTAAGACAAGCAAGCAGTGACCCACAACCAGGTCCTAGTGGTATGCAGGCAAAACGTAGGGAAGAGAGAATATCCCAGAGAAGTCATCACTGCCTGATGTTATAATGGAAGGGGACTCCCCTTTCAAACAGTAACACTCCCCCTCCCACTTCCCCCCGCTTCCTCCTCACCGCCTTCCTTACGCCAAAGAGTGTCCCAATAATGATAAGATAGACTGTACATACTGTATTGTAACTGGTACAAAAAGTGTGGTATTCAGCATAAAATATATTTTTCAGTTAAAATTTTTGGGGGTGTCGAACGGATTAATTCAATTTACATTATTTCTTATGGGAAAATTAGTTTCGCGTTACAAATTTTCGAGTTACGACCCATCTCTGGGAACAGATTAAATTCATAAATGGAGGGACAGTAAGCACTGTACTTGAAAATAAATTTGAACATGAAAGCAATAAAACATTTAGTTTTATTATAAAATTATTATAAGATTAATAATTTTCCATACATTTACATCTGGAATGCTTTAAGATTTACCAAATACAAGTTAGGATAGTTTACTATATTTACTATTAAATACAAGTTTCCCAAATACTAATGCACTGTAATATCGACAGAGACTAACCGGTTCCAGTAATCAACAAACTGTTCCTGCGTGAGGTAGCCCAGCTTATCCCCGCCAGCGGCGATGAAGAGGGGGGCCTTCCAGTAGAGGGGCAGTTGGCAGGCCCGCATAATAGGCCCCATATTTTCCCGTGTTACTTGGCCCCCCTGCTCCCGGAACACAGCGTTCACGTGCGATAGCGCCTGCTCCTGTGTCACTTGGCTTGATGGTCGACCCATTGGATAATAGAATCTGTCAAGATGTGCAGGGGAAATTATTAGTGTTACACATATAATTACTGTTTGAAAATTAACACGTGTAATCTATTAATTATGTACATATACCTTAAAAGAATTTTAAATACTGTAATCATGTTTAAATGACATGAATTATTTAAATATTGGGAATAGGTGACAAAAGTAAAACTTTTTTAGTTATAGAATCAGGAAGCGAGTGTTGGATGGGTGCACGGTGAGAAGTGAGGGGCGGGAGGATGGGAAGCAGGAAGGAACGGAAGGAGTAACTGCCAGAAAGTGTGAAAGGTCTACCCCTCCCCCTCCCTCCCTCCCTGCCCTCACATCCAGGTCAGGTGTAGAGACTGGGGTCACGGGTCACCCCACAGTCTCTCACCCCCACACTGCCGTAACTCCTCCACTCACCCACACTCTCTCACCCCCGATCACCGACGACTCAAATGACTTAAAAGTGCTAATCTTAATTATTTTCTCCCGCTCGCTCTCTCCGTCCGTGCCAGCGAGGTAATTCGGATAAGAATGATGGAATACAACCTCCTGGCCTCCCTGAACACTCCGCCCCACCTTCCTCTCATCCACTCTTCTGGCGCAAATTAAGAAGCGGAGATGAGAGGCTTGTCAGCATCATTCCGCATTTCAATCCACGATGAACAAGCCTTTTGGGGAGTGTTGTACATGCTGCTATGGCGGTGTGTCCACTCACAAGATGAGTGGCGCTGCCCAATAAACTCGCCCCTCGGGGCAAAATTTACAATAAAATTAAGAATTTCACGCTGGCTACCCATCCCCACTTCTGGGTTCCATAGACTCAGGGTTCACCAACGCTTATAACAACCCGTGCGACTCAGACTGTTCACGGGAGACATCTCCCGTCACGCAGGGTGCAGTCGCACCTCCACAGATCTCCAGTATCAGCTCTTGATACTGGTAATGGCTCAAAAGGGCCACCACTTACGGGCTATTCATGCCCGTGCCACCTTTTGGGTGGCTTAATCTGCATCAATCATCAATCAATCTTCAGACTATTGTGGTAAGCTTGCGTCAAAACACGCATGACAGACGTACAAGGATGGTAATAGACCCGGCAAGAAGCTTATCAATAACATTATCTTAATTATCTTCAAAGGTA